TGCCTGTTCTGTTCCTCCCTCTGTCTGTGGTGAATCCTCTCACTCTCCTCTGCATCCCCGCTCTCCTCTGCAACTCTGGCCTGCACCCCAGCTCTTGTATGCATAAATAAATAAATCTTAAAAATTAAACTATAAAATCAATACTGGAAAAGAGATAAAGGGTTAAAAAGACTCTTGTCTCCTATTGAGGGCGTAAGACAGTAGGCATGCTTGTGTTAGAATGTGCTTTGTGTTTGTCTTGTTACAGTTATCTGACAGTATCATGGGTTTTCCCTCCCAGTACTCCAAAATTACTAACTTCTAAAGAAAATGTAAGATTTATTAGAAACGAGGATTTTAAGATAATTTATTTCCCAAACTTGTCTGATAAAAATCACCTGAGTCAGGGAGATAATCTTGTTAAAGTACAGATGACAAGGCCTTTCTCTACATTCTGCCAGACTGGATTCAGGCCCTAAATCCATTCCAAGTGTGGGAAACATAGTTTTATATACATTGATTACTGTTTTGGTAACAATCTGCACCTTCATCTTATTTCTTAGATTCATTAATTTTTTCAAAGAAAACCAGTACACACACACATACACAATTTCTTGTGCTTCTTTACGTGTATTACACCATGATTAATATCATTTTCCCCAGTAGCAGAAACATTATTTCTTCTGTATTTCCTTTATTTTTATTTTTCAGTTTTTTATCAGATGTTGCTGTTTAATTAGTTCCCAGTTTTAATGCCAGCATCAGTGCTGCAAGAGCTCAGGGTTTGTACTGAGCTAGATCTGGGTTCAATCCTGATTGCTTCTTGTCACATGTGTTCATGTTCAAGTTGTGAGACCTCCTTGAGCTTCAGTTTTCAGGATGGTAACACAGAACATTGCTTAGAATTGCTGAGGATTCAGTGAGAGAATGCCTTCTGTGCTCTCAAGGCATTGCCTGTTCCATAGGCTTATCAATGTATGTGAGTCCTTGTTACTTTGTTATTGTTATATAAGGCTCCCAATGGATAGCATTGCCAGAAACTGAAAAGAAGGACACATGAGTGCATAAGAAGGGAGAATTTGGAACTGAAAAGCAGTAACTTTGACTTCTTGGTATTTTATTATATATCCCTGTATGTTTCCCCTCTGTTCCTAGTTCCCAAATTGTTTTCAGCAGAGAAAAAAATTTTGGAAGCCTCAAAAGGGTGTGTGTTTGTTTAGGTTGTAGAGGAACTATGCCACTGTATCGTGTGCCATGTGATTTTTGATAAAGATTTTGAATACTGATTGGAAGCCACAATCAGGCTTTGTCTGTAGAAATTAGTGAAAATAAAAAGAAGAAACCCAAAGTGGAGTATGTCTTCTAGAATTTGAAACAATATTAATGTTCCATAAAAAGAAGATTTTATATATAAGGTGAAATGAAGTTTTTAATGCACGTAAAATCCTTTTGTATATGGAAAATAGCTGAAGATTTTTTTCCCCCAAAGTTGGCTTTTTTTTTTTTTAATATCTCAATATGTCAGTAATTCTGAACAATGCCCATGATTAAACACGTTTTTCAAGAAAAAAAGTGTGGGTCTGTGTTCAAAGCAAAATTCTTTAGCTACTGTTCAGTTGCTTACTGTTAGTAAGCTTCATGTCAGCACATCTTAGTTACATGGCCTTTAGTCAACATTTTATTCACTTGAAAGTTAATTTGGAGAACTTCCAGTTACACCAATAATCGATGATCACCAAAATCAATGAGCCCAACAAACAGCATTTTCTTGTCTTGAGAATAAGTTCATCAAATTTAAACAACATTCAGGTTCTCTTCAGGTATTGTCTCCTACATTTGTGGAGCTACATTCTGAAGTTTAGGCAAAGATAGCACTGTGATTGTAAAGACAAAGTTGCAGAACTTGACTTTCTTCAGTTCTGATATTATTCTGTGATACTAACTTGGAGTTTTGAATTGTGTTTAAAATTTTTTAATTTTTTTTTTTATTAATGATGTACCATTATTTTATATTCTTATTTGTTTTTTTCATAGTATAGGATTTTGCCACTCAGATGTGGTCACCATAGTTTCCCTTCACCAAAACACCCCTAGTTGTTCACCATAGTACATTGTAACTGGAGTTTTAACAGTTCCATTAATCCAATAAGACTATGAAAAAGGAAGGAAGGCAGACAGGTCACAGCACAAATCTCTTCTGTGAGCACCAGACAAATAGAGGAAAAGCAGAATGGAGGCTTAAAAAATGACCAAATGGTTAGGAGATGAGCTAGGTGAGGAATAAAATTGTGCAGACTTTGAGGCTATTACTTTTCTGTTGTGTTTTAAATATTTTTCTTTTTCATGTTTTGCTTTATTAATCTGCAGTCTTTTAGGGAACTTTTTGTTCCATTAGCAATAAATTTCATGATAAAAAAGGTAACTTATCCAAACCAATGTATTATAAAGCCGCTTTTGTGCTGAAATATCTATGTCATTCTGATGGAAGTTTTATTCTCTTAGTCAAAAGTTTGATTCTTCAATGACTTTATTCATTCTCTCTGGGATTACTCAGTGTTTACTTTCTTTGCTAATGGCAGGGTTCTCATAACAACATGCCATTTCTTGTTAGGAGATTTGGCAAACTCAGAAAGGCTGGTTTTCATTTCTTCAAAATGTGTGAACTCTATCGAAGGAAAAGAATTTTTTGAATTTTAGATATTTGTTTTTGTCTAGACTGTTATATATACCTCTGAAGTTGGCAGATGCTTTAAACTGCTTCTCTGTGAATAAAATGTTATTTTTAGGAGTATGTCACTTCTATTGCCGGTAAACTTATTATTCCTATAATAAATGTAGGCTCACTTTTAAGTGACCAATTGTAGCATGTAAGAAACATTGGAGAAATTTCCCAATTTTTTTCCTGGTAAGGAAAAAAGGTAATTTACACTTCAAAGTGCTATGAAGCTATAGATTTCTTTGGAGGTCTTGTTGCACAGCAACAAGATTAATGATATATTTTCAGAGCTTCTCATGTAAACACCCAAGTAGTATTAAAATAATACGCATTTCACTTCTCCTGTACTGTCTCTGAGCCTTCCTATTCTTTCTGCTGTTGCCCAAATGATTATTTTGAACAAACCAGAATGCCTGTAGGAGGTTCTTTTAGAAATCCTTTCCTTAGAAGTTGATAAACAGGTTCTTACTCAATGATTTTAGGGGTGGATACCACTCCTTTTTGAAGGCTTTATTATTCCCACGTTTGTTGCTGCATACTTTTAATGCTTTGTTTTTGAGATGAAAGTTTCCTCATTGGTTTAAGGAAGTTAAGTTCCCAGCCAACATATTTTGTTACTTTTTATAAGGGAGTACACAGTCCGGCATTCCAGGGACCACTAATGAGATGGGTCATCCCATTAGGCCACTGCACAAAGCCTAGGTGTTTAGTCAGCCTTACCAGCTGGGTTTGTAGAACGACAGTCTGATGTTCACACAGCGATGAAGTTGTATTCTGAAGCATTTCTGAGAACATATGTCATTAAGTCACCCATAGCTGAATTTGGGGATTCTTGTCTTATACAGATGAGACTAACTTCAAAGTATCCCTATGGTGTAGAGTGTCATTAAATCTCACAAATTAGAAAGAGATGAAGGTCTGGTGGAAGTGAGGGAGGAGAGGAAGCATGCACACACCCACATGCTGTGGAGATATTTACTAGTGCTGATTTTAGTTACTCACTTATGACTCATTACTAACTAATCAATTTACTTAACCATGGTATCTATAGATACTTATTTAGTGTCTACTAAGTTTGTCATTCTTTATCTCAGTAGAAGAATAAAATACTTAAGTTTATTCACATATAGTTCTTGCTGTCTTGGAATGACCAGTTGGGAAGAAACAAGTTGTGCATGCACTTTAAACAGTGAATTGATAGGTAAAGAAATATATCATTTTTCTAAGTTCTAAATTGACAGACACAGTATGAAGATTTCCAGGAACAGAAAGAGAGAGAAATGAGGGCTGAGAAGATTAGTGAGGACTCTGTGCAGGAGATAGAACTTGATCTTTTCTCTGCAAGGGTGAGTGGGATTATAGAGGACAACATGTGACAGGAAAGTGCATCCTGGATGGGGATGCCAGGGGTAATTGAATTAAGCATAAGTTTTTGTGTTTGGAGAGAAATATTGACAGGGTGCTAGTTGGATTGGAAGGATACTTTTGGAATAGTGGATCTTAAATAGGTTGAATGGAACAGATGTTCATGTATATTCTGATTATAAAGAATTTGTAGACTTCGTTGAATTACAAATGTTCAAGTTATATGTATCGAATTTGCAGATGTTGATGCTTCTTCTTCTTCTTCTTCTTCTTCTTCTTCTTTCTTCTTTCTTCTTTCTTCTTTCTTCTTTCTTCTTTCTTCTTTCTTCTTCTTCTTATTATTATTTTATCTCTTCTTTCACCAGTAACATACTGTCGAGGTTACCATAGCTTATAATAAGTCTTTAAGTTGGGTAGCAAGTCCTCCAAACTTTGTTTTTCCTTTTCAATATGGTTTTGGCTATTCTGAGTCATTTGTTTCTCCATGTGAACTTTAGATGCAATTGATCAGTATTCATAAAATAACCTGCTGGGGGTTTGATTGGAATCACATTGAATCTGTTGTGCAAACTAGAAAGAACTAACATCTGGACAATATTGAGTCTTCCTATTATGAATATGGAATATCTGTCCTTTCAGTCTTATTTGATTTTGAGTTTTTTCTCATTTTTTAAATTTTTGTTTTCTTAAAAGTAAAGACATATAGAGTTTAAAAGTAGGAAAAATAGTCAATATCAGTATCACCAAAACCAAACCTAAGCCCTAAACTACATTTGCTTTTGACACACAATTTGTGTGAGATGTAAGCCATGCTAAAACTGACGAAAACCTCTGTATTTCAACACATTCTTGCAGAAATTGTTATATAAATAGATGCACATGTAAATATGTTGATATGACATGTGAGAAAAGTTAATTAATACAATAATTTTTTTTCTAGGCCGGACCTGATAGACATGAATACTGTTGCTGTTCAAAGCAACCTTGCAAATTTAGAGCACGCTTTTTATGTAGCAGAAAAAATTGGTGTCATAAGACTTCTGGATCCTGAAGGTAGGTTGTTTTTTGTTTAGGTGTAAACTGGCATGAAAGTCTGACCAAATGTAATCTATCAACATTTCAAAATGATTTATGTTGTTGTTTTTTAGATGTTGATGTCTCCTCACCTGATGAAAAATCAGTAATAACTTATGTATCATCTCTCTATGATGCGTTTCCCAAAATCCCTGAAGGTGGTGAAGGAATTGGTGCAAATGTGAGCATTGACTTTTTCCATATTAGAAATTGCTGATTCATTTATGACTCATTAACTGAATTGTTTGATAATCTCTTTATAATTTTCAAATATCAAATATTTGTAAATGAATTTGAATTAATATGCTATTTAATAAACTGACACTGTGTGGATTTTATTGGCACCATTCCACCATCAAAATCAAAGTATAACAAAAAAAACAAAGTATAACTCAAAAAAAATTTGTTCTGTGTTATAAGTAAGCTGCTTAAAGTTACATGTCACTTTTTAGTTTATTTTTTTATACAAGATCAAGGGTACAGGTCAGAGGTCCGGGAGGGTGAGAGGATTCACCAGAGACAGAGCAGGGAGCAGAACAGGTAGATTGACTGAAATACACTAAGGGGAGCAGTGGGCAGAAAGGAGAGAGCTGCTGTACCATATATGGGTTAGCTTCCTGGCCAGGAATCAAACTTAGGCCATAGTGGCCATAGCCCCGAGACTTAACCCCTTGGCCACCAGGGAGGTCTCCTTATTTTGTTAATAATTACTGTAAATCACTGAATTTTGGAGATTTTCATTTAAACTTGCTGCTGTTTTACACTTCTCTATTAGATGTGTAAGTACAGAACACCTCACTTTTGAGTTTATTAACTTATATGATCCCATAGCTAAGTTGGCCCCTTATTGTTTTTCTGACTTACAAGTAAAACCCAGAAGAACATTATTTGATTTTGCCAAATTAGCAGAATTCTTTGTAAGCAGGATGGGGTCTTAGATACTCTTTATTAATCTACTCTTTCCTAAACATTTGTGTAATTCATTCAATCCTGCATTTTGTAGTGGTCATACTAATAAGTGCTTGTGTGTTTCTGGAAGAGATTAGAAACCCTGTATGTGTTAGCACTTGGGGATGATAGACCCTCACTCTGGGCTTCTCCTCCTTGTAGAAACTGTTACCCCTCTATTTTGCTTTAAAGATTTGGGAGCTCATCCTGGTGAGCCCTCTCTCATGGGCTCTTCCTTCACCTAGGTGTGCCTGTGTTGTTGTTTTTAGACTTATTCCATTCTCTTCTTCTCTTTCTCAAAGGCTTTATCATCTTTTGATCCCTGAGAGACTTGTTCCCACTCCTCTACACTCCTCTAGTATAATACTTAAACACCAAAAATGATTTGGTGTTCTGTGTCACTTCATAATGGTTTCTGTTGCCTTTCCTTGCCTTATCTTCTCACTACCTCCTCCATATTTCTGACTCTTACCTCTTCACACCAGGGTAGCTTGCTTATGATTTTCCATCTTCATTATTTTTCTCTTCTCATCAACAAAGCACAAAATTAGCTTGCAACATTCAGTGGCTATAGATGTCTTGCAAGGTTAAATCCAATCTAGATATTCTGACTTTCACAATTCTTCATACATTAATTTTTGCATGCCTACATCTTTAAGTTATAATTTCCCAACATGAACCGTTTGCTGCTGGCCAGCTCATTTTTATTGCAGTGTCCTGACTCACTTTTCCTTTTGCTTAACTATTTACGTTAGGACTTCTGCTTACCCATCTAGACAGTAACTCCTTCATAAGGGTGTTATGTCTTAAGTATTATGTTTTTATTATAACACTTAACACAGTGATTTGAATATAATAAGCATTTGTCAAGTACTTAATTGAACTTAGCAGTTGATAACTTTTCAGTTTCCTTCATTTTAAAAAGTTTTGCTTAGTGAGTACTTGAATAATCCCATCATATATTTTCTGTAATTTTCACTCTTAATCTAATTTCTTACACAATGTATAGCTCTTTTGAGTGTCTTGTATACATGGGACTTAGATCTAAAAAGGTTGGTAAAAGCGGCTGCTAATCTATCTGGCAAATACCCTAGATTGATTGTAGAGTTTTTTCCTGTTTTGCTTGGATGAAGCCTCAGAAGCCTTCTCAACACAGTGTTCCAGGCAGCCACTATCTCTGATCAAAATTGGCAGTCATTAGATTAGTCTTAGTGGTCAATGTTTGAGTATGTTCTGAAAGCTTATTTATGTGGAAAGGATTGGGGGTAGATGGAATATAAGAAGCATTTAGCTTGGCTTCCCTGTCAAACTTAAATACATGAAAATTCAGAGAATGGCTTCTGACTAGATAGTGCTAGATAGGAATATTAATATATACAAACATCTGCCTTTTCTGTCATTTTATTATTGTAGGATGTTGAAGTCAAATGGATTGAATACCAGAATATGGTGAACTACCTCATCCAGTGGATTAGACACCATGTGACCACAATGTCTGAGAGAACATTTCCTAATAATCCTGTAGAACTAAAGGTCTGTGGCACTGTAGAAGTTAAGTAGGATTGAGTTGATTATTAAACATGTAAAAAATGCTATAGTAGTTCCATTATTTCTGAAATTCAAGAAAAATGCTTTTGGCAAGACACTAATAAGTAGACAATTTTTATTTATTTCCCTAATATATAGAGAAAGAGGAGATAAATAATAATTAAAACAATGACAACAACACCTTGAAGACATGTATAGTTACTTAGCTTTGACTTGTTGGGCATTTTAAGGTTTAATTTGAGAGTCTCTGGAACTGACATTGCCATATTATCTCTGGTGAATGGGAAGAACTTGGAGCTCAGCAGATGTCTGGGGTAGGAGGTCTGGGAAGCCTGCATGGTGGTTGGGAGTGTGTCTGCAGTCATATCCTGTTTAAAAAAAAATCACAGAGACTTCTTTTGTGTAATAAGAGGTACATACTATATTTTGCCATGAATTAAAAATACACAGTTGACTTCTAGTATAGATGAACTGATGGTTTAGTAATATATTTACCATTACCTAAAAACTTAGGTTCAACTCAGTGAGGCAGAAACATTATAGACATATAAAATGTATACTGGATATACAGACTTATTGAAATGTAAGTTGTTTTATTTTGTGTATTTGGATTTTTAATAGCAAAGAAGTCTCATTTCAAGAAGATGATAATCTGATTAATAACAACAAAGTATAACTCCTTGAATTATAGACTTTGTTTTCATGATCAAACTGGAATGTCAAAAACTGTAATAACCCAGGGTGGGTGCTATTAAAGTTATTCATTGTGTTCATGCATCAGTACAGAACATTGGTGGAACAGCTCTTATTCACGTTGCCACAGGGAGTTTGTCCTTGGCACACAGTTCCTTGGCATGTGTTGATATGATGCTTTTTAAATATTCTAAAGTTGTTTGTGTGGTATCTCCTTCTGTGGATAAAACCTTTCAAGGGCAAGAAAGCTTTCCCCCTCCTATCACCATTATCTACCACAAATTGTAATGCATAATGGCTCATAGTGCTTATTTACTGATGGACATCCTGAAACATTATATTTTGAGTTCAAAACAGTTTTCAGGTTTCAAATTCAACTTATTTCCAAATGGACTACTGTTGTTCAGACACTTAGATAAATTTGTACAGGCTTCTGATTAATGCAGATTCTTTAAGTTACAGAGGAAAATTGACTGCACAGATTACTTGACTACACAGATAGGACGTAATACAAGAAATAAAATATAACATGTAGAAATTAATACATTTTTTAGCTAGCATAACATTGAAAAGAATCATTCAGAAATGTTTTTGAAGATTTACAGGGACTTGTTTTAAAGCAGCATAATTTAAGATGAAATAATTAGTGTCACTTATTAAATGTGGAGGTATTTTATGTACATAATTTTATTAAGACCCCTTTAAATAAATATAATAAATGTTTTTAGAGATTCATAAATTAATAGCTACAAATTAGATAATAATTTAATTATATGGGTGAAACTTTTACAATAATAACAACCAGTATCATCTAACTTTGTTCAAGGATCTGTTTAACTTGGCCATTGGGACACTGTAACTAAATTTTACCCCTAAAATTTAGAATCCATTTTCAAGGATAGATTCAGAAACTATAAGAAAACGTTTTCCCCCTTTATTAGAATGGTATCAGTTTATTTTCTTAAAAACTAAAATTCAGCAGTTGCAATGTATGTTATTCAAAGGATGGTATTCTCTTGTTTGGATCGAAGAGCTTTTTAGTGGAGTCAGTACACACTGCTGTGAATTATTATTCTCCAGATCCATGGGTGGCATATGTTCAATCCTGGCTCACTTCAATAAAAACCATCATCAAATCTTATATAACCTCGTCACCAACTGGCTGAGAATTGGTAGTGTCCTGGAGTGTCAATTTTATAAAGGAATTCCACTGAATGCATATGACACAGTAACACAGCAATGTAGCATTAGAAGTATGTGATAATAGAAATAGGTCTTTGAAGTGTGAGCCTTAATTTTTTTCCCTTTTGTTTTAGGCACTTTATAATCAGTATTTACAGTTTAAAGAAACAGAAATTCCACCAAAGGAGACAGAAAAATCCAAAATTAAACGCCTGTATAAATTATTAGAGGTAAACAGTAATTTCCTTTGTATTGTCAAGTATAATCTTTTATTGTAAACATATTTACCTTATTAAAATTTTTTTTTTTTGCTTTCTCAAGATTTGGATAGAATTTGGACGCATCAAACTCCTTCAAGGTTATCATCCAAATGATATTGAAAAAGAGTGGGGGAAACTCATCATTGCCATGCTTGAAAGGGAGAAGGCACTTCGCCCAGAAGTAGAAAGGTAGGCCAAAGATGTTTTTTGCCATGGATATCATGTGGGCAAGAGGGGATATTTTTGTTTATATGGAAAGAATTTAGTTGTGGAGCAAGGTAAATCTAAGACCAGCATTTGCTTTTCCCATTTACTTGACTGTATAACCTTAGATAAGTCATTTAGTCTTTCTGATCCCACATTTTCTTATCTAGAAACTCTTTCAAGAGGTTTGAGGAGTGAATCAGAGAAGTAATTTTCATAAAAACTGGGTTGGTGTATGCAAATGGTTATAATGTTAAAACCAATTAAAACCCATGAGAATTTCTCAGACTGGTCCTTAAATCACCATGGCCTGGATCTGGAAGCTTGGACATAGGTCAACAGTGAATTTATTCTGGTTTTTTTTTTTTTTTTTTTTGGTTATCTTTTTGGCTATAACTCTTTCCATAGGACAGTGGAACCAGACAGAATATAGTCTATTTCCATTTAAAGGATGTTGAGATGGCTTTTAGAAAACACTAGTAGATGTGGGTTTAAATTCTTTTTCTGCCTTATTTCTGTGAATGCATTTATCCCATGAAATCATCACTGACACTTTATGTCTCTCCTACTAACCCCACTCGCTCAGGAAGGTACAGCTTAATATATAGACAATGTATAGTCCTTTACTCACTGCCTGACTCATAGTGCCTGGGAATTGGAATCCCTCTTCCTCACTAGCTGTGAGCTCCGCAGAGGCTGGGCCTGACAGTGTAAGGGCAGTGTGGTCAGGTACACCTCTAAGGACTTCTCATGCCACACCTTCCCTGCTCTGCAGTTCAGCCAAAGCTACACTGGCTGTCTCAGAAGCTCTGATGTACCAGGGTGCCATCCTCCTCCATACTCAGGACCTTAGCACTGTCTGTTCCTTTGGCATGGGAGTCACCTTCCTCCTTCCCATCTCTCTTTACTGCTAATCGTTCTCAGCTTTGGCATTCCTGTTACTTCCTCAAGAAACTTTCCATTGTCTCCTGGGTACTTTAGATGTGTTGGTTATAACTCTCATTAAGTTCCTTTGTAGTATTCATCTTGGGTGTAATTTATTTTTGTGATTGTTTGATGAAGGACATTGATTAATGCAAGTTCTTCTTTTTGCTGTCCCTTGTGTTGCCAACAGAAGGCAACATAGAGGCCTCCCTGGTGGCACAAGTGGTTAAGCATCAGCACTATGAGGCTGTCCATAGCTACTGTAGCACAAGTTCGATCCCTGGCCAGGGAGATGACCCACGTGGTGTAGCAGACCTCTCCTGACTCTCCTGCTGCTCCCCTCCGCAGTGCATTTTCAGTAGATCAATAGATCTGCCTGTTCCTGCTCCCCACTCTGTCTTTGGTGAATCATCTCACCCCGGCACCTCTGGCCTACATCCCAGCTCTTGTACACGTAAATACATATTTTTTTAAAAAAGAAGGCAACATAATGCCTGGTACATTTAGAGGTTTGTTTTTCTTTTTTGGCTTAAGCTGTTACCTCTGTGTACTCATATTCTCTGATCCACATATAACTTCAACACTTGAAATATAAAATAATGTGTGGAAAATATGAGAGCAAGTCTAACTTGTCAGTGCTTTATTAAATTGCTGATTATGTGCTTATTAAAGCATAATACTATATTTATATAATAGGTACATTAGAACATGTTTGAAATACCCAGGACAGACCTACTAAGGAGGTAATAATTCTGGGTGATTAAAATGAGGTACTAAGCTAGTTATCTGAAATAATGTGAAAGTACACCAGAAAAAAGCATACTGAGTAGATTTTTAGTTTAGTTTTGTAGCTGGATTTTAATATATGTTAATTAAAGAATGTAGTGGTTGAGAGTTCAAGGTCCAGGAGCTAGTCAATCCTGGATTAGATTATTAGATCAATTTCAAGCCATGTAATCTTGAGATAAGTTCATTAATCTCTCTAAACTTCAGTTTCCACATTTATAAACAGGATGTATTAGTTCCTATAATATTTGATGGTTTGTGTATGAAATTATATATGTAAAAGATGAGTTAATATCCTGGCATATAGTAATTGTACAGTGAATTTTATTTTTTTATTTTTTAAAGATTTTTATTTATTTATGCATATAAGAGCTGGGTGTAGGCCAGAGGTTCAGGGGGTGAGAGGATTCACCAGAGACAGAATAGGGAGCAGAACATGCGGATCTAACTGAAATACACTGCTGAGGGGGCAGTGGGTGAGACAGGAGAGGTCTGCTGTGCCATGTGGGTTAGGAGGCCCCTGTTTAGTGAATTTTAGGTGGTTATTATTATTTTGTGCTTTTCAGTTTACTAACTAATGTGACCTGGCCCTCTCAAATTTCTCCTTTCTTGTCTTCTGAAAAGAAAAATACTCACCTTTAGCCTGGAGAAACAGCGGTTTGGCTTTGTAGTTTTGGGGGTAGGAAAATTTTTAGGAGCTTGGTTGCATAGATGCCTTTATTTTTCTTGATGTAACAAGTTTTTTTTTGCCTTAAGATATTAATTGCAAATAATAGTTATGTGACCTGGGAGTGTGTAAAAGACAAATGAGAAAGAACCAATGTTCTTTTGCCATGTAGTAACCTATAGAAAAGAAAACAAGCACAGACAAATTAAATTTTCAAACATTGCATCTATTCTATTTAACACTTTATTAGAAATATAAAGTGACTAGTAATATTAGCAGTAACATTATTGAGAGCATGTCATGTAAGGAAAGGTAAATGGATAGTTTTCCAGTTAATTTCACCTAATAAACAAAGACAGGTGGTTACTGGAAATGTCCTTTGCTTTTTATCAAAAACTCCTTTATTCATTTGCATTTATGCACCAGTTTTTACTTCTGTGCCATTCATCCTAGACCTGAGCCTTTTTAAAGGGCCCTTTACAAAGTCAGGCTGTGGTTGAATATTTTTTGCTTTTAGCCCATGATTGGTATTGCTAGAATAACTTTTACTCATTGTACCTATGCTTCAGTGAGGCATTTTGAATTGTTTTTCAGGTGGTTGAGATCGGATGACTCTTGGTAAAAATATTTGGCAAATCATTTTCAGTGACGCCCAATCAGTCTGCCTTGTCCATACTTGTAGGGTTTTAATGCAGACTTACAAAAGGCAAACCTCAGCTGGCAAACACATGACTTTAGGCAAGATTCTTTAGAATAGTTATCAGCATATTATTTGCTGTGTGTTGAATATGCATGTTGGAGCATATTTAAGGAGGCATTAAAGCTGTAACATTCAGCTGCCACTTTTCACTCTTAGAAATAGAACTTGTACAAATCTACTGTTTAGTCTACTTTTAATGGTCAAAAAAGAATATCATTTTAGGAATAAAAATGCATAGTAGTAGTTATAGTTACCGCAGCAGTGATTCTGTGTTTAGTAACACTACCAGCACGCGAACCAGTCTTGATTCAACTGAAAATTTTCTCTCGGTTAATTGTCCAACCTTGATCAACTCCTGCATTAGCTTTGGCAATGAATCCTTTGATGGGCACAGGTATTGAATCAATGGTGTGGAATTGTGTTTTACTTTTGGTGGGCAGTATTTTTCAGGGATCATGAACTATGTGACTTCAAAGGGAAAAGCTTTCTTTTGTTTTCTCCCTTCCTTTAGGTTGGAAATGTTGCAGCAGATTGCCAGCCGAGTTCAGAGGGACAGTGTCATCTGTGAAGACAAACTGATACTTGCCCGAAATGCTCTCCAGTCTGTAAGTTAATTTTAAGAGCATTGAGACTGTGGTGGAAGGGTCCGTGTGTTTGGATGCACTGAAGCTATTGTATAATGTTTGGCCTTTCTTGTTAGTTGTTGACTGGATATCAAATACTGGAACTTTGAGTTTGCTCAAAAGTATGATTATTGTCTGCTGTCTTGAGGGACAATGAGCAAAGGGAAAACATATTTTTGAACCAAAAGGAAAAACAGAAAATTCAAATAGCCTGCTGTTTTAATATCTATAGTTTTTTATTTGACTAGTATCGAAACTTGTTTCACAGAACTAATATTGAGGTGGTTTTTTTTTTACTATAGGATTCTAAAAGATTAGAATCAGGGGTGCAGTTTCAGAATGAAGCAGAAATCGCCGGGTATATACTTGAATGTGAGACCCTTTTACGCCAGCATGTAATTGATGTACAGATTCTTATTGATGGAAAATATTATCAGGCAGATAAATTGGTACAGAGGTAAGTACACTATTTATTCATATCATGCTCTTTTGTAGATAACTGTCTCATTGTCACTCATTGACAGGAATGTAGAGTTTGACATATTATTTACTCTTTTTGGTAAAAAAAAAAGTGCGTCACATCAATCCTGGTGTATTTTGATGTTTTAAGTAGGTATTTGTTCTTCAGAGATAAGTAATAGAAAAATATTTGTGATACATATAATTTTAATATTGTAGAAACTAATGTACTTACAGTTAAAATATTCATGTATGACTTTTAAAAAAGGAAAATACAAAGAGTATCTTTTACTTCAATTTTCTGGTTTTCTCTTTATTCTGTTATGAAGATGCTCATAACAAAATGTTGAAGATCTAAATATATGTATATAAAATATGTGAATATGGGAAGTGGTCTTGAGGGGTAGGAAGGGAACCTTTTGTGTTGCGTCGGGCACACCACACTGACAAAGACACAGGAGTCATGGAGCCTGTGCTATATAATGCAGGATGCTGCTGAAGAGCAAGATTCTGGCTGTTTTTATTGATAGAATAATCATACAGCATCAGCTACGTGTGTTAGGAGGACAAAGAGAAAAGGATGGGTGAAACTAAGGAATGTTATCTAGCGCTTAGGGGGACATGAGGCTGCTGACCATATTATCAGCTTGATGACCAAGTGTTGTAATCGAAACTAGACCCCAGACCCCCGGCCATGGTCCTAATCTTATCAACAAGGCATTCCACTGATCAGCTTCTGGGGTCCCTTGTCATACATCAGTCCTTGGCCCCCCGGCATTCCCAGTCATACCTCCTGATGCATAGCTTTCCCAGAGTGATCAAGCTTTCTGCTCTTGATTGATATGAAAGGCACCTTGTAAGGTTTGGCTCCTATGGCTGATTGATCGGTTCTGAAGGGCAGTTTTGACCTTGTATAGGAATGCAGAGCTGCAGGTAACCATAATGGCAGCCGAACAGGCCGCTAAAGTTTAGCAGACCCACACTTTTGGATTATATACTTTCTGTCTGTTTCTCTATAAATCAATCCATCAATCAATTATCTATCTATCTATTGGATAATCATAAAACAAAAAATGTTAATGATATTTCACCCAGTAACTCCACCTTTAGGGATATATAGTATTCTAAAAATAAAAACATATATAAATAAATAGACAAAAAAGTTTTTGTACATGTCAGAAGTATTTTATAGTAACAAAAACTTGGGAAGTATCCTAAATGTCAAATAATAGAATAATCACATTATAATGTAAAATTTTGTTCTTTGTGATACTTTAAAGTGCACTTAAGTATAATATGCAGTGAAAAAAGGAATGCAAATTTCATCAATATGATTACAATGATTTTTTAAGAGAAAAACTTTTTTTTGAGCAGCTCAGATTTAAAGAGAAGTTGAATGGAAAGTACAGAAAGTTCCTATACATCCTGTTACCTCACCTATTATTAACATCATGGTTTAGTGAAATGCATTTGTTGCAGTTGATGAGTCAGTACCCATACATTATTGTGAGCTAAAGTCCATTGTTTGTATTAGGCTTCACTCTGTAAAAAAGCCTTTCATATTATAACTTACCCTTTTAATGTTCTTTTTAGGGTTGCAAAACTGCGTGATGAAATTATGGCCTTAAGGAATGAATGTTCTTCAGTGTACTGCAAAGGACGCATGCTGACAACGGAACAGACAAAGCTCATGATATCAGGAATTACTCAAAGTTTAAACTCAGGATTTGCACAGACCTTAAACCCCAATCTGAACTCAGGGCTAACCCAGAGTTTAACGCCTTCCCTGACCCCTTCTAGTGTGACATCAGGTCTGTCATCAGGTCTGACTTCCCGCCTAACTCCATCTGTCACTCCAGCTTACACACCTGGTTTCCCATCGGGATTAGTTCCAAATTTTTGTTCAGGAGTAGAGACAAATTCATTGCAAACTCTGAAGTTGATGCAGATCCGAAAGCCCCTTCTAAAATCTTCTCTATTGGATCAAAACTTAACAGAAGAGGAAGTCAACATGAAATTTGTTCAGGACCTTTTAAACTGGGTCGATGAGATGCAGGTAAAGAAAAACATGTACTTTTCTCAAGTTTCAGGCTTTCTTGCTCTCTGGTTCTTTTTAAAACCTAGTGTCTTTCTGTTTGAAGGTACAGCTGGACCATACTGAATGGGGATCGGATTTGCCAAGTGTTGAAAGCCATTTAGAAAATCATAAAAATGTTCACCGAGCCATTGAAGAATTTGAAACTAGCCTTAAAGAAGCTAAGATCAGTGAGGTATATGAATTTTTAAATCTGTATGCATTACATTTAGTTAACTATTGTTTTGTTCCTTACATAATGACCCAGTAGCAAATAATAGATTGAGGCGGAGTCAAAAGTCCTTAAGGTTCCTAATCTTGATATCTTTTTATTCCATTTTATAGATCCAAATGACAGCACCTCTTAAACTCACTTATGCAGAGAAGTTGCACAGATTAGAGAGTCTGTATGCAAAACTCTTGGTAAGGGTCTTTTTTCCCCTTCTGTTTCTCTTATCTCTATTTGCAAATCATGATTCTTATAATGATTATTCTTATAAAGAACACATCCAGGAATCAGGAACGGCACCTTGATACACTCCACAATTTTGTGACTCGTGCAACTACTGAGCTTATTTGGTTGAATGAAAAAGAAGAGGAGGAAGTTGCTTATGACTGGAGTGAAAGAAATACCAATGTAGCTCGGAAAAAAGATTACCATGCTGTAAGTGCCTTTGTGACAGTTCTTGAGCTGTATTTCAGGTTCTGCTCTTTTTATTTACTTATTTTTTAAAACATTTATTTTTTTATTTATGCATACAAGAACTGGAGTGTACGCCAGAAATGTGTGTTGGGATGTGGGGGGCGGGGGTTTGAAAGGATTCACCAGAAACAGAGTTGGGAGCAGAACAGGTGGATTGACTGAAATAACTTTCTGAGGGGCACAGCAGGTGAGACAGGAGAGGTCTACTGTGCCATGTGGGTCAGCCAGGAATCAAACTTGTGCTGCAGTGGCTGCTAATAGCTTCATAATGCTGAGACTTAACCCCTTGCACCACCAGGGAGATGGTGCAAGGTTCTGCTCTTTTTAAACATACTTCTTTATTCTTTCTTAAATTAGGAATTAATGAGAGAACTTGATCAAAAGGAAGAAAATATTAAAGCAGTTCAGGAAATAGCAGAGCAGCTACTTCTGGAAAACCACCCCGCCAGATTAACTATTGAGGTAAGTCTAACAGTTACAGTTGAACACTGACATTTAATTATTACCCTTCAGATTCTTTTATTGCTAATATATTGAAATATACAAACTATCAAATTTTTGCTACAGCCCGAGGCAATGATGTTGCTGGCAAATCACACTGATTCTTACCTTCGCTTCTCTTGCTTTCTTTCAATGTGCCACCTATTCATAATTCATACTTTACATCTCTGTGGCCAGAGATGTATTAAAGAAAAATGTTAAGGACTTTCACTTTACAAACTTTGGTATTTTAATTCTTCTTTATTGTATAGTGCTACACAAGTGAGAGTAACCTTGCTAAATCTCATTTATCTACTGAAATGGAGGAAATTATGTCCAATCTGTAGAATTGTAGTGAGAATAAGAAGAATAATGTACTCCTATGACTTGGTACAGTTACTGATATATATAGCATGTTCCCATAGAATATTACTTTTATTTAATTTAATAATTGTATTCATGATGGTTTTGTGAGGTGTATGAAATAATGTCCTAGCAAGGCCTCATGGGATGCAGTGTATATTTCATATCCAGAAAAGGAAAATTGATGTGGGATTTACCAAATTGCCCATGAAGTGGTGTTGGTGGTGTTAATGGTTGAGGTGTGTTTCCTTTTTAGGCCTGATGCACACTAGTTAGAATTAGAGACTTTCTAAATGTGAATGGGGTTTATGTAAGAGATTGAGGAACATCAAACATCAATATAGACATGGTATACTGCTAGAGGAAAATAAAGCTATGCTTAAAATGTAACAAGCTTCAAACTGTCATAGCTGAAGAAAGGAACCTGATAATCTTAGTTAAAATAAGCCATTTTGATACAAAAGACTAGTAAAATTCTAGATCTCATTGAGAGTTTAGGAAATGTTATTTTTGACCATCTTTCGTATAAATACATGGTTTTGCATTCACATAAAATGCCACATAAAAGGGCAAGTTGGACAAAGAAGAGTAAGGGAGAGGAAATTAGTATAATGAAGGATCTGAATATACTTTCAAATGAGGATAAGCTATTATAAAAGTATTCTTTAGGGTAGGGAGATGAAAGCTGTTAGGAAATATGATTATGGATTTAGAATTTTGATTAGAATGGAAAATGTGAATGTGAACCTGAAATACAGAAATGTTAATCTAATTAACCAAAAAGTATCTTGAGGAATAAAATTAAGTAAGAGTTACCGTTATGATTCTATCTAGTGAATGTGGGTATGTGGATAATAGTTTTCAACACAATTTTATATTTTATATGAAAAGAGAAATTAATAGCTAACGATGCACCATGGTAAGTCTTTTGTAGTCACTTTACTCAGTATGATCATGCTGTAACACCGGATTTCCTATTTACATTGTAAATTACATTAAAGTCTTATTGAGAAGAGCTCAGCAGAAATTAGTTTTTACAAAAGAAAGAAAAAAAAAAGAAAAATGCCAAGCTTACTTAAGATATTCATTAAAGCATCTAGGGTGCCCTCTTCTGGAAGTCAGTGAATTGTGCCTTAAATATAAAAGAGTGTTTATGGTTCGTTAATGAAGTAGATGTCATTTATATAAAATTTTTGCCCTCATGAAAGATGCTTTGAATTAAGTAAAATTCAAGTAAACAGATCTTTTTTAACAAATGTAATTGATGTCATAACTCTTCTAATTCTAGAATTACACTGATATGGGATTGCATACTCCCTTCTCTCTACGTCCCTAAACCTTTCTCACCCCCAAACAAATAATTCACTCTCTCTCTAGAGAATGTAGCCTAGTTCTGGGAGCAAAAACAAGGAGAAAACCACAGAACTGCATATTTTTTGCACCAGAAGTTGTATTTTATGATCTAGTAATAATAAATTCAGAGAAAAGAAAGAAGGGAAGTTGTCACAAAGGAAAGTATATTTGAAGATTACACAAAGTAGGTATAAGGATTAGGTAGGAAAGGAGTAATGGTTGGTTTTCTAAATACCAGCGATATCTTGCATCCATTTCACATGTCAAATATTTTTTCATGTAAAAAGTGGCCATAGTTAGCCTTTTTTATATTTCAAGAAGAATCAAAAGAAATTTTCTGGACTCACTTAAAAATCAATATATAAATTCTTAGGATGGCTCTCTGCAGTTGAGAACTCTTAGTTTCATCACCCTGATTTTCAAGTACTGTTATGTTATTCAGTTAAAACAGTCTCATTATCTAGGAAGCAGTCTTTATCCTCTAAAAGCATTGTTTATGTAGTTTATTACTCTCAATTGGTTATGATACATGTATTTTATCTTTAAGGCCTACCGAGCAGCAATGCAGACCCAGTGGAGCTGGATTTTGCAGCTCTGCCAGTGTGTGGAGCAGCACATAAAGGAGAACACTGCATATTTTGAGGTATGTCGATGCAGTCACAACTTCAGTGCATGGTATTATAATTTTGGCTAACAGAAAAGAACTCCATAATTTATTGTTAAGGTATACATTTGTAATGTATAAGGTAAATAAAATGATTTTTTTTGTAGGCTATAAGGGATATAAATCCTATTGGATAGATTGGAAGCATTCTATTAAAGAGGAAGTCCTTTAGAAAGCCCATTAAAATGGTAGAAAATATTTTATAAATAAGTCTCTTCTTATTAAGTAAATATTTTTATGACAAAGATTTTTTCTGATTCTTCAGAAGTTTAAAAGTATTCTTGGAATTTCATTCCTAATTAAGAATTGTTTGGACTTCAAAGTAAAACAGACATTGAATCAAAGTAACATAGGGCCAGAACACAATATAGACATACTTTGGGCACTAATATTCACTAATTATATAGGTTCAAAAGTTAATTGTTTGGTTAAAGGAAGGATGCTATTAAGTTGTTTGTGATTTTAGTCTCTCTCATTAAGAGGCTACAAAGGGCTCTGGTTTTCAAACTCAGCAACTCTGGGCTTTACTGGCATTTAATATACTTTAATTACTATTCAGAATTTTTCTGTAGTTTTTCAGTGATGCCAAAGAAGCCACCGATTACTTACGGAATCTAAAGGATGCCATTCAGCGGAAATATAGCTGTGATAGATCAAGCAGCATTCACAAACTGGAAGACCTTGTTCAGGAATCAATGGTACTAAGCTTTCATCAGCAATGTAAAATGGGGATTAGATTAGTGTTTTATTGTATTTTATATGTTCAGAACTTTATATTTTATCAGTCATCTTATTTCCACCTCATTCAATCAAGCATTTAATACGCAGTTTTAATATTTTTTGGTAACAAGTACAATAAAAGTATTTTTTATGTGACAGCTTTAAAATTTTAAAATGCTTTCACAGTGTCCTTTGTATGTGTTTGTTTAGTAGTCTATTCCACAAATACTTGTTAGATACAGCCTTCTTTTTGATGTTGGAGATAGAGCAGTGAATAAAACAGATAAAAATCCCTAACTTGTTGGGGCCAAGTGGGTGGTGGATGGTGACTGCACAGTTATTAGTGAATTTGGTGAGAAAACATAATCTTGGAACCTATATAGTCTTCTAAACTAATGTTACCTCAATTTACCAAAATAGTAAAAAGAAAAAAAGAATTCTTGCCCTGTGGTACTTACAGGCTATGGGAGGGAATAGACAATACCCATGGCAGATAAGTATCAATACATTTAGTATGTCAGACAGTGATCAATACTAACAAGGGAAAAACAAGCTAACAAAACAAGGTTAGAGGGATGCAAAAGTGGGTGGGGAGGGATTGATAGTTTAGACCAAATGGCCAGGGACTAGATGGGATAAAGTTACATTTATGTAAAGTCCCATAAGAATTAAGTATCAATCTTTTATTTTTTAAAATCATTGCTATTTATTACTCAGGAAGAGAAAGAAGAACTTCTGCAATATAAAAGCACGGTGGCAAGCCTGATGGGGAGAGCAAAAACAATAATTCAGCTGAAGCCAAGGAATCCTGACTGTCCACTCAAAACTTCTATTCCTATCAAAGCCATTTGTGACTACAGACAAATTGAAGTAGGCACTTATAATTCATAGCAACAAACCAGTTTCTGTCATTATTCATGTATTTAAAGTAAAATATTATTGCTTAGTAAAAATTTTTCTACCTCAGAATAACAGAATAACAAATTTTTCTACCCCTGACATTGCATGTGGATAAAGACTACTTCACAGTCATTTGATTTGCTAATTCTGTTCTATATTTTAAACCAGATAACCATTTTCAAAGACGATGAATGTATTTTGGCCAACAACTCTCATCGTGCTAAATGGAAAGTCATCAGCCCCACTGGGAATGAGGCTATGGTCCCGTCTGTGTGCTTCACAGTTCCTCCACTAAACAAAGAAGCGGTTGACTTTGCAAACAGGTTTGTGTGCATTAGCCAAAAAGCTGTTTTTGAAGGCTCACTCAACTAATACTTTGTCAAGGCCCACAGGATTAGAAGGATCTAAAACTAGTAAACATGGAATATTCCCCCCTCCCAACAAAAAAGTAAAATTGTAACATGTTTTCAGAGGGAGTGAAAAGACTCAGTCCATGTTTTCTTTAACGTATTGCAGAATAGAGCAGCAATATCAGAATGTCCTGACTCTCTGGCATGAATCTCATATAAACATGAAGAGTGTGGTATCCTGGCATTATCTTGTCAATGAAATTGATAGAATTCGTGCCAGCAATGTGGCTTCTGTAAGTATAAATCTACAACTAAATCTAATCTGTCCAAAAGTGTGGGACACCTTATCATGAGGGGTGGAGTTTCCATTTACAATAAAATAGGAGGAGCACAGTAGATCCATGCTATTACTAATTCATCGGATGTTTTTTATGTGCCTGCTGTATACAAGGCCCCTTCTAAGAATTGGCAGAACCTGGAGATTAAGTATTTCAATGCTTACATTTGAGAGGGAAGCAAGATGTATGTCTTGCTTTTTCTTGCCTTTTGAAATTGGAAATTAAAATGAAATTGTTAATGAAGAAAATGTTTCAAATGGTTCTTCTATTCATGACTGTTACTATAAATGGGCAAAAAGCATGAGATCAACCTGAGATCCAGCACATTGAAATTTAACTCTTAGTACTGAAATCACTTAATTACACTCATTGTTGGTCTTTCATAGATAAAGACAATGTTACCTGGTGAACATCAGCAAGTTCTGAGTAATCTACAGTCTCGTTTTGATGATTTTCTGGAAGATAGCCAGGAATCCCAAATATTTTCTGGCTCTGATATAACACAACTGGAAAAGGAGGTTAATGTATGTAAGCAGTATTACCAAGAACTTCTTAAATCTGCTGAAAGAGGTAAAGCATGGGAACCCTTATCTTTTTTCCCCCATAGCTGTTTAATCCAGGCTATTTCTGCTAAGTGAGAACCTCAGTTTTAGGCACATTGTATCAGTCAGCTTATATATGTAGACACTTGTGTGAGCATTGAAAACATCTTTAAGATAGAAAGATCAAGGAGACATCATTTATTTCTAAATGACTAGTTAAAATGATACCAACCAAATAGTGTGATAGTTGATGAGTTCTTAATGCATCTGCTTTTCAACAGTTGTATGATTTTGCAATGTAATAATCAGAATGACAATCTTTTTGTTTCAGAAAGATTGAGTTATATTTCCATGTACCAAATTTGGAGTTTTTTTTTTTTTTTAAGTCTTAATATTTTAAAGACAGCAAAATTAGATTCACAGCAAAATTGAGAGGAAGATGCAGAAATTTCTAATTATCAGACTTGGACTTGGGCCTTAAAGGAAAACATATTGTATAGTTAACTTTTGTTAAATATGAATTTAATTTTGAACTCTTATGATACTATGTAGAGGCAAAAATTGTATTAATAATAATAAACAAGCTTCTTTTAAACATCATATTTACTTTCACAGAGGAGCAAGAAGAGTCAGTTTATAATCTCTATATCTCTGAAGTTCGAAACATTAGACTTCGATTAGAAACCTGTGAGGATCGGTTAATTAGACAGATTCGAACTCCACTGGAAAGAGATGATTTGCACGAGAGTGTATTCAGAATCACAGAGCAGGAGGTGAGATTTATAAATATGACAAAAACTAACTTAAGGTAAATTACTGTCTCTCAGTGACCTCATTGTTAACTCTTGTGACTTCTTATACTCAGCTTTGCCTGGTGTTCATTTTGTGAGGTCAGATTATACTTTTATTGCTGATTGTAAATAAAGTACGAATCTATAATTCTGGTCTACCTCTGAGTCAGGTAAAAACACAGGACCAGGTACTCTTACCCACAATGATGGAAACTATAAGGGCTTCTTATAGTGAAAATCATACATTTGTGATGACCTGCTATGTGCAAAAATATATAGTTGTTTGGGCCTCAGGATATGGGCATTAAGGGAATTATTGATTATAAACTTAGTTTTATTATTTATAAAGCTTAGTTTTAGTATTACAACTTTGCTCTGGTTATTAATTATAGAAGTTAGTTTCTTTGATTAAAAAAAGTAAAGAATGTGTAGATTTTTAGGTCAAAGATCATAATAAAATAGATGTTTTAAAATTATTTTAAGTAAAAAAAAATTTGGGATGATAACCTAATACTACTATGTTTGTTCTCTGTTTTATAGAAATTAAGGAAAGAGCTAGAGAGACTTAAGGATGATTTGGGAACAATCACAAATAAATGTGAAGAATTTTTTAGTCAAGCAGTAGCCTCTCCATCAGCTCCTACCTTACGATCTGAACTCAGTGTGGTCATTCAGAGCATGAACCAAGTCTACTCTATGTCTTCCACTTACATAGATAAGTATGTAACCATTCTTGTAATATAAATTAACTTCATACAGCTGTCAAACTTTCATATAGATGCTATTTATTCATGATACGAATATTAATACTTTTACTTTGTCATAATAGCAAATATATTTAAATATTTGTCTATATTTCTGATGTCTCTTTATGTGAAAGAAAATGTGTCTCAGAGATTAGGGCCAAATGTATCATCTTCCCACATTTTGCTGTAGTTTATTGGTAGCTCAACTGTGCTCTGTAGGGTTTTCTTCTCAGGGTTGTCCTCAATGAGGTTTGAAAGAAGACCATCCTATGTTGGAATCTATTGCTAAATACCATGTGGGGCATAGCTGGGGTTGGGACACATGATGTCTAATAAGAAGAGAGTTATCTGAATGTTAATCTTATTAATCTGACACAAATAGGTTTCCAAGATGAAAAACACGTTAACTCATGTTCCATGATAGTGCTTGAGGATTATGTAACAGGAAAATAAATGTTAACCAATAGGAGTCTAATTTTCTTACTTAGGTTGAAAACAGTTAATTTGGTGTTAAAAAACACTCAAGCTGCAGAATCTCTCGTAAAACTCTATGAAACTAAACTGTGTGAAGAGGAAGCAGTTATAGCTGATAAGAATAATATTGAGAATCTAATAAGTACTTTAAAGGTAAGAATCTTCCAGATATTTTTCAAAGTCATATTCTAGAAGTATTTCTCTAGCATTTAGATCTTTAAACATCAACCTTTAAGTATCTTAATTTGAATACATTTATATTCATTCCATTGCATATCAGTATATAACCATAGCTTCCTTTAAGTATGTTCAGTCATTTTCAGTTTGAGGAAAGTTCTTTTCATTTAAAGTTTGAATCTTTTTGTGGCAGTGGTTTTTCACAATTACTTCATGCTGTCAGTAAAAGGAGTTGAAGCTAAAAGTTCAATTGTTTGTAATAGATTATCTTGCTGAAGTTATTTTAACAAGTCAAGAGGGTAAGTAGAAGGATTAACCTAAGAAAAGACAAAATGATGGCTGTACTGATAGGTATCTGTTCTTCTATTTTATTAAGCCCTCAGTAAAGCTGTTGAAAAACACTTGTGAAAAGCTATCTCAGTGAATTTTAATCATGTATTCATCTTTAAAAAATAAGATTAGAAGGCTTAAAAATAATTGTTCAAAAAGGCAAAGTTAGCAAAATTGTTTATGGAATATATTTTGTTTCATTGATATGCAAATTCTATTAGGTTGAACTTTATAAAAATTTTTAGATCAAAGTATAGTCAAATTTTGTCAATTTCGTAAATTTCAACATAATATTATTTTTACATATGTAAGATATTTTTTCCTTTATCTGATTTTATATGTTATTTTTTAAATTATAAAATGAGAGAAGTGATTTGTCTTTTAAGTAGTTGACACATTTTTATAACTTTCACCATTACTTTTTTTTAGCAATGGCGATCTGAGGTAGATGAAAAAAGAGAGGTATTCCATGCATTAGAGGATGAGTTGCAGAAAGCTAAAACCATCAGTGATGAAATGTTTAAAACATACAAAGAACGGGATCTGGATTTTGACTGGCACAAAGAAAAAGCAGATCAATTAGTTGAAAGGTGGCAAAATGTTCATGTTCAGATTGACAACAGGTTAGTACCTTTTTTTAGTTTGTATTAGCACAGATTTTATGTCTGTCTAGTCTTCTAGGTAAAATCTAAACTTCAGCTGTTTTTATATCTATATATAGTTAGTTTCACAGTTAACTTCCATTTATAGTAATCCTAATTGCAAGAACTCTAATTGCATTTCTTTATTATATGTGATCTTTAGCATACATTTAACTTCAAAGTAAGTATTTTTCAACTTTGTGTTATTTAGATTACCGCTATATACTGGCATTTGTAGAGTTAATCTACTTGCCTTTTCTGATAGTAAAAACAATATATTTCTATAATTATAACCAACTTACAATATGCAAATAACCAACACTCAATAAGCATGTGGATCATACTTTTAATAGGGTTAGATTTAACAGTTTCCCAGACCTAAGAGGTGAAAAGAAATTGAGGTAAACTGATGTTCATTGTAATTGAAGATGAAAGCTTGTAATAATTTGCCTTGTGACTGAAATTTTAAAAAAGGGAAAGGTAATAAGATGGCTTAGGACTCATCTTAAAGAAATGGAAGAGTGTACCTTCTCATTCATTTTCATGTTTATGTTGATAATAAATAAATGCTTTTATGATATAGGACTATTTCTGAGAGGTAAAGTTATGTTCAAATATATAATTTCTCATCTCAGTAAAATATATGAATACACTTAAAATAGTAGTTTAAATTATTGAAACTGAAGTATTTAACCAAAGCCCTTGAAAAGTACAGTGAATCTATATTGAACCATTCACTGAACTATTTGAAAAGTGAACTGCCATTTGATGTAAGCTGTAGATATTTAAGACATGATGATTGATAATAAATATGCTTAATTTTCCAATTTTTCTGCTTTTTAGTTTTAGTTTCTTAGGTTTGTCCCTGGAGTAATCATTGCTACTAAATTGCATAATTCCAGGAGCAAAAATTTGTATTAAATACATACCAGAATGGAATGCCCTTGAAATATGCCCTCGGATGCTATAGCCTTGAATTCTTACACTACCCCTTTTGTTAAGTTCAGTGCATTGTAGTACAGGTTTTTTTTTTTTTTTTTTCTCCCTTTTTCTCAACACCTTACAGCTTCCTAATGAATACTGTTGGAAACCATGACTGTTCTGTTATTCTCTTAGGTTACGGGACTTGGAAGGCATTGGCAAATCACTGAAATACTACAGAGACACCTATCATCCTTTAGATGACTGGATACAGCAAGTTGAAACTACTCAGAGAAAGATTCAAGAAAATCAGCCTGAAAATAGTAAAACCCTAGCAACACAGTTGAATCAACAGAAGGTATGTAAATGAAATTCCTTTCACTAAGGTTGTGTCTGCATTTGGTCAGTCATGACCCTTATCTTCCTTTCCCTTGTTAAAAAGAAAAATCAGCAACTATTTCAAAGGAAGTGGGAAGTAAATCATAAATGTTAAAATTCTGTAGCCAAACCTTTATATGTCCCTTACTTTGATTTCTTGGAAGAAATTTAAAAGCATAAGGATTAAGAAAGTAGCATATTGGGACAGTTTTCAAATTCCTAATGATCACTTAGTTTTAGTTATGGAAATCTATTTGGTAATTATGGCCAGAATAGTTTTAGTGGATCCTAAATAAATAAAAATTGTTAGTGGTAGAAAGTTAAACAACTGTATTTGAGAGACAATTGAATGATTTTGTCCCATCTTGAGAAACTGTAATTCTAGCTCTGTTTTGATCAAGAATATATGGGGATCAAAAACTTTAAGTCTGCTTTTAATAATTCCTAGGGAGTTCTCCAATTTCTACTATAGAAGTTCTGTGTGGCCTCCCCCTCTCCCATAACCCAGGTCACTTATGTGATGACATGGAAGTTTGTAATTTACTCATAAGGCAAATTCCATATTAAATGCAAAAGGCTAAGGAGTTATACTATTAAGTGATATGGATATTGATTAAATCTTGATTATCTTAAGTAGATAAATACCATAGAGTTCCTTGTTGTTTTTTTTCTAAAACTATTGTCTTCTTAGATGCTGGTATCTGAAATAGAAATGAAACAGAGCAAAATGGATGAATGTCAAAAATATGCAGAACAGTATTCAACTACAGTGAAGGTAAGATGACTCAGTTACTTGTGTCATATTTAATATTCAGTTATGGGATTCCACATTGCACTTTTAAGGTCTTTGAAAGTCATTTCACTATGTTAAAAAATGAAAGTAGACACTTCACTAATAAGTCTTTGTGAAACCTGAGTAACATGACTGACCCTAGTTTGTTCATTTTCTCAAAGCCACACACCTGTGCAGTGCACGTGTCCTCCCCTCCTGCTTCACCGCCCCCCGCCCCCACTGCCACGCCACCGCCACCAGAATAAATGCGTTGTATGAAATTGTTTTCTTATTTTGCTGGAGAGTTCACCCTCCCTCCACTCTTTCCCTTCTTCCCTCCCTTTTCTTTTTCTGTTTAACTTTGAAAGAGTATTCGTGGAAGAATTTCTAACTTCTCAAATTAGGGGACATTTCCTATGCTTTTGGAAGTCTTTCACAATTCCTCAGCTTTAGCCATCCAGATCCACAAAAAGCCTGAAAGTGAGAAGCATGTTTTAACAAAGTACTTCCATGAGCTTCTAAAGAGACTTAGGAACTTTCCTGCCACCCCTAAATGTTTCTTATTTTATCACCACTCTGGAAAATCACAGGATTGAATCAATTCTTAAAAATTAGTTTTGCAGGGCCTCCCCAGTGGCACAGCGGTTGAGCGCTGGGTTGCCAAGCTGCCCGCAGCCTCTGCAGTGCTGGTTCGATCCCCGGCTGCTCCCTGGCCACGGGAGGAGGGTCCCACATGGCACAAAGACCTCTCCTGCCGCCCTCTGCTCCCCTCAGCAGTGTGCTTCCTTCCTTCTGCCTGCTCTGCTCCCGCTCTGGCTCTGGTGAATTCTCTCACCCTCCTGCGCTTCTGACTGTACCCAGTGCTTGTATTAAAAAAAAAAAAAATAGTTTTGCAATATTTTCTTTATTTAAGGTTAGTCAAACTAGATTGTATTTATGCCAAACCACTGTAGAATGACGCTTTAGTACTATGTTTTAATTAATTTAATCATATTGACTCCTTTATACAGGACTATGAATTACAAACAATGACCTACCGGGCCATGGTAGATTCACAACAGAAATCTCCAGTGAAACGCCGAAGGATGCAGAGCTCTGCAGATCTTATTATTCAAGAGGTAATAAAAATACAAGAGTGGGGAGGGGATATAAAAGAGATAAAAATACTTTAAATAAATTATATGTTTATTTTTGTTGTGTTAAAGCATACGTAATAGAAAAATTATAGTTTTAACCATTTTAATTCAGTGGCTTTGAGTTTATTCAAAGTTCATTGTCAAATTCCAGATTTTTTTCATCATCCCAAGAAAAAGCTCTCTACCTATAAGATTTTGTTAGAGCTTTAAAAGAGGGTTTGAGACTCTTTATTCAAGATTTTTGTAGTGAATAATGAATGTGCTTCATGATTACTTTTAGATGAAAATTTTCATTTGGTATAGTTTGCACAACCATGATGATAAGCTCATTTCTACTTAGTTACCAACAATGGAGAGCTGTGTTCCTTACTTTGAAAATCTAGTTAATATTGTAACATTACTAAGTGTTCATTAAACTCACGTAGGGGGATTGAAGATAATATTTTTATTGTTTTTTTTTCTTTCCTATAGTTCATGGACCTTAGAACCCGGTATACTGCTCTGGTCACCCTCATGACACAATATATTAAATTTGCTGGTGACTCATTGAAAAGACTGGAAGAGGAGGAGGTAACCTTTAACAGGAAACAACTAACTAAAAAAGAACTAAATATAAACAGGAACTACATAGAGCATGGTTAGAGAAAACAAAAAGGTTTTATAATAAAGTTACATGATATGTATGTTTTAATTCTAAAACTGCAATGAAAAAGAGTAGGGGGCTAGGATTTTTGGTTTATTTTTAAGATCATATCACACTGAAAAACCCTTTTTGTTTTCTCTGTGAGACTCTAGCATGATAGGGTTAATGTCTTATATGGTTCTATTTCAATTATGAAATGTTGGCAGATTGGCAGAATTTTTTTCAGTTTTCTCACAGTTGAGAAGTAAATTTTTTTGAAGTATATTTGCTACCGTTGTGATGTGTATAGAAATACTATACAAACATACTTGTTTTGTGTATTTTAAATTAATTTATATCTTTAAGGATTTAAAACACAAGAGCTAATAGTTTAGTAGTAAAGTACAAAATATAATGCTAGTTTTAAAGAACTGTGTTTTTATTTTTTGTCAAAAATGTTAAGACCTGTTCAAATATTATGTTAATTTGGGGGATTTTGTGACTTTGCTTCTACATTAACACACACATATATATATATATATATATATATATATATATATTTAGAATAGAAAGGAGTTATTTTTGAAAAATGCATTGTCATAAAAGCTCCTATGTCTAATTTTGAAGGGATTGTGCTATGCTCTGTTATCTTGATATACTTTCAGTTCCTCACTTGCGAACAGACCAAAATAGTAGACTGAATTCTGTAATAAATAAATTGGGGGCATTAGCCATTTTAAATTATAGATTATTGTTGAAATACTGAAGATGATTGTATTTAGTATATAATGAGAGAACCAAAATGGTAATGTCAAATATAGGTTAACTTATAGTCTCTAAAAATGTGACTGTTTTTGTAAACTATTTTAGTCTGTTCAGAGTTAACAGTGTTCTGCAACTAAACCACTAACATAGCTAATTGTAAGACTTTCTACCTAGCTTCTTTTTGTGCTTAGAAGAGAAGAGAATATTTGTGACCATCCAAATAATTAGTCTATACCTCTCATCTGTGAAAGAAAGAACACCCATAAATTTTGCTTTTTTAATTTTTGAGAGATCTGATTCCATTTTAAATAGTATACAGGTCATTAAATTGCACATTTAGTAGCTAAATGAAAGATAACAATTTATTTTCTGTCCTTATAGTATGTATCCAATTGCATACATAAGAGCCACTTTGCTCAATTCATTTGATGAGGTAGGATACTAAAGTTTATAGAACCAAGAGATTTCAAAAAACCTGAAATATATACTATTATGTTTGTCATCCTTTGAAAGGTGAAATATTTATAGTGAATCGAAAGTCAAAACAACAATGTATGGAAGACCATGCAAAGACTATCATTAAAAATAGTTTTTAATAGATTTTAACAATCCTCATTTTAAATTTGCCACTTAAAAATGAAATTAATGTAATGTCTTATAAGAGATATGTAACTGAGTTTTCAGACTCAAGGCAGTTAATATTTTTGACACTTAGTCTGTGAAGATCCACAAGAGAAACTTTAGTTTACAAGTAGAATTTCCTATAATAAACATATAGTCAGAGAGGGATATGCATTAATTTCAAAAGATAATACCAAGCTAAAGAAATGTTAATAAAATATTTGTAATAGATATTAGATGAATAGAGATCATCTATTATGAGCTATACTTTTTAGAGCAAGATATATTACATATTAATTGCTAAGATTAAAGGCAATTTATCTTTTAGGGATCATATAGAGAAAACTTGAGGAAGTTATTTTTATGCAAGTAAGTTTGAGATCTACCAGGAATCAAATCAGCAATGAGACTAAATTATTTAGAATAATTTTTCTAGTGTTTTCTGAAAAGTGAGAGTTACCTAGACACTGTGAGATTATTAAAATCACTTCAGGATACTGAGGGTTCAATAACAAATATTTTTTCCTGAGAGAATTTTCTTGCTTTTTATTTCAGAACATGATTTTAAAAAAGGCTGAAAGCCTCTTAGCACTAGCTAGTTTTTGGTTTTTTTTTAATTTATTTATTTATACAAGAACCAGGATACAGGCCAGATGTGTGGGAGGGCAAAAGGATTCACCAGAGACAGAGCAGGGAACAGAACAGTCAGACTGACGAAATATACTGCTGAGGGGAGCAGCAGGCCACACAGGAGAGGTCTGCTGCGCCATGTGGGACCCTCGCTGGCCGGCCGGGATCAAACCCATGCTGCAGAGGCTGCGGACAGCTTCACAGTGCAGTGCTCAACCGCCTGCGCCACCAGGGGAGGCCCAGCACTAGCTAAGTTTTAAAGGAGTTTTTATAAGGAAGACCCTTTTAGAAATCATCTTGAAATATCAAAAATTTAATATTTATGCAGATAAAATGCTTTTGTATCACTACGAGTTGACACTGAGAAGGAAATAGAACACTAAGGATTTTAAACTGTGATAAGATTTTTTTTAAATATGAATTCTTACTAAAAATCATATTTAACAAAAGAAACAACTGAAATTCTCATAAAAATGATTGGGAATCAAGAATTTAGAGGAAGTAAAGTAAGATATATGGCCTATAATACAGCTTTTTGAGATTCATCAAAATTTCTGCATGAAAAAAACCTGTATCTATAATAATATCTCTATTCCTATTTAAATTATATCTGATCATGATAATTTGGAATTGATAATATGAAACAAACAACCATATGGTATTACTAAAAAGAAATTAAAGTCTAATTATGAACCAGCACTGATCATGTAGTTCTGTAGTTAACAAAAAGTGTATACTTCCCAGCTAAGATGAGTCTATCATCAATGAAACAAAAAATTAATTTTTTTTCTATATATTGGATCTGAATTCCTAAGTATATTTTTATATTTACCGAATATCTTTATGTTTATGAAGTAGCTAAAGGTACTTGTCAAGGTGGATTCATATGAGGCATGTCATTAACAACAACCAAATCTGTGAGTATATGAAGCACATCTTTTCTAAAACCCCAGGGACTTGTAGCTGCCTTTGCATTAGCAATTCTGATTATTAAACATGTCATATATGATAGGTATAAATATTTGACTTTAGAAGCTATAAGTTTTTGTTCATTTTCTTTCTTTCCCATGTTAAATATTTTTTCCTGACTTTATTCTAGTTTTATAGTTTGTTTCTTTAACCATAAGATTGAGGGCTATAAATATCATTTTAAATTTCCACTGGGATAGATATTGGAAACTAAACTCTTTGAGGTCTTTCAATTCCCATACATGCTATGTTTTTCTCAGCTTGTTAGGAAAATTATTTAACCTCCCTATACCTTTATTTCCTCATCTGGGATCGTGCTATCTGTTTTAAAAGGTTCCTTCTTGCTATGAAGCTGTAAAGTACCAAGCTAACTTGTAAAACATAATTAATCCTGAGAGACCAAAAAAAAAAAAAAAAGAGAGAGAGAATTCTTTGGTTTACAATACCTTTTGTGAAGGGTTTTGTCTTCTCCTGTTGCTGACTCTCTGAAGCTTCCTCTCTGGAGAAGGTGATGCTGGTGGTGGTTGTGGTGTTGGTGATAGTGCTTGTTCTGCATCAGGGTTCACTTGTTTTTGTAAGTACTTTTATGAGTAAGTACTTTTGTTTCAGTTTTTTTAAAGATAAATTTGGATAGAACAGGTTTGACACTTTTAAACATCTCTTGTAGATTAAAAAGTGTAAGGAAACTTCTGAACATGGGGCATATTCAGATCTGCTTCAGCGCCAGAAGGCAACAATGATTGAAAATAGTAAACTTACTGGAAAAATCAGTGAATTGGAGCATATGGTTATGGAACTAAAGAAACAAAAATCTCAAGTAGAGGAAGAACTTCCAAAGGTCAAAGAAGCTGCACAAAATGAATTGAGGAAGCAGCAGAGGAATGTAGAAGACATCGCTCTGCAGAAAATCAAGGCAGAAAGTGAAGCCAAGCAGTACCGCAGGGAACTTGAGACCATCGTGAGAGAGAAGGAGGCTGCAGAGCGGGAGCTGGAGAGGGTGAGGCAGCTCACATCAGAGGCCGAGGCCAAGAGAGCAGCTGTGGAACAAAACCTCCTAAATTTCCGGAATCAGTTAGAGGAAAATACTTTCACCAGAAGAACCCTGGAAGATCATCTTAAAAAAAAAGATTTAAGTCTTAATGACTTAGAGCAACAAAAAAATAAGTTGATGGATGAATTAAGAAGGAAGAGAGACAATGAAGAAGAACTCTTGAAGCTGATAAAGCAGATGGAAAAAGATCTAACATGTCAAAAGCAGATAGCAGAGAAACAGTTGAAAGAAAAACAGAGAATTGAATTGGAAGCAAAAAGAAAAATAACTGAAATTCAGTATTCCTGTAGAGAAAATGCATTGCCAGCTTCTGTGATCATACCTGCCATGTCATGTAGAGGAACAGATCTTCAGAAAGAGCTGGACAAACAAAAAGCAGAAGAACTCAAACAGCAGGTAGATGAGCTAATGGTTGCTAATAGAAAGGCTGAAAAGGACATGAGAGAACTGAAGTATGAACTTAATGCCCTCCAACTTGAAAAAACATCTTCTGAAGAAAAGGCTCGTTTGCTAAAAGAAAAACTAGATGAAACAAATAATACACTAAGATGCCTTAAGTTAGAATTGGAGAGAAAAGTTCAGGTAGAAGAAGGGTATTCTCAACAACTTAGAGAACTGGGTAGGCAATTGAACCAAACCACCAATAAAGCCGAAGAAGTCATGCAAGAAGCTAATGATCTCAAGAAAATAAAGCATAATTATGAAATAGAACTGGAATCTCTTCAGCAGGAGAAAGGGAAACTGCAAAGGGAAGTTGACAGGATCACTAGGACACATGCTGTAGCTGAGAGGAATATTCAGCATTTGAATTCACAAGTTAATTGTTTTCAGGATGAGAAGGAAATCTCTAGGGAAAGATTACAATTTTGTCAGAGGAAATCAGATCATCTAAAAGAACAATTTGAGAAAAGCCATGCACAGCTGCTTCAAAATATTAAAGCCGAAAAAGAAAATAATGATAAAATCCAAAAACTTAATGAAGAATTGGAGAAAAGTAATGAGTGCTCAGAAATGCTGAAACGAAGAGTAGATGAACTTACTAGGCAAAATAATGAAACCAAATTAACAATGCAGCGCATTCAGGCAGAATCGGCGAATGTGGTTTTAGAAAAGCAAGCTATCCAGCAAAGATGTGAAGCACTGAAAATCCAGGCAGATGGTTTTAAAGATCAGTTACGCAACACAAATGAACACTTGCATAAACAGACAAAAACAGAACAGGATTTCCATAGAAAAATTAAATGCTTAGAAGATGACCTGGCCAAAAGTCAAAATTTAGTAAGTGAATTTAAGCAAAAATGTGACCAGCAGAACATTATCATCCAGAATACTGAGAAAGAAGTTCGAAATCTGAATGCTGAGCTGAATGCTTCCAAAGAGGAAAAGCGATTGGGAGAGCAGAAAGTACAGCTACAACAAGCTCAGGTGCAAGAATTAAATAACAGGTTGAAAAAGGTACAAGATGAACTACACTTAAAGACTATTGAGGAACAGATGACCCACAGAAAGATGGTTCTGTTTCAGGAAGAAGCTGATAAATTCAAACATTCGGCAGAGGAGTTTCGAAAAAAGATGGAAAAATTAATGGATTCCAAAGTCATCACTGAAAATGATATCTCATGTATTAAGCTTGACTTTGCATCTCTTCAGCAAGAAAATTGTAGAGCTCAAGAGAATGCTAAGGTCTGTGAAACAAATATTCGAGAACTTGAAAGACAGCTTCGACAATATCGTGAGCAGATGCAACAAGGGCACAATGTGGAAGCAAATCATTACCAGAAGTGTCGGAAACTTGAGGATGAGCTGATAGCCCAGAAACGGGAAGTTGAAAACCTGAAGCAAAAAATGGATCAACAGGTAAAAGAACATGAGCATCAATTACATTTGCTCCAGTGTGAAATCCAAAAGAAGAACCCAGCCAATGACTGTACTTTCAAAGCAGATTTTGAGATGGCAGTGAAGGAGTGTCAACACTCTGGAGACTTCTCTTCTAGGAATTTGGGGCAGCTCCACCCAACTACCAGGTGTTCTTTGTTTAGATGGACTAAAGAACCACAACAGTCAGAAGAAAAATGGCAGCACCGAGTTGTTGAACAAAAACCAAAGGAAGTCCAGTTCTGGCCATCAGGGACTCCACTTGAGAAAGAGAAAAATCAGCAGTGTTACTCTGAATATTTTTCTCAAACAAGCACTGAATTGCAGATAACTTTTGATGAGAAAAACCCTATTACAGGACTATCAGAACTAGAAAAGATGAGAGATCAAGCTCGGTACAGCTCCAGGCCACCTCTTACGTATCATGATGACAAATGTGAAATAGACCTGGTGAAGCTTTTGGCACCCTTAGAGGTATACTCTGGGTTCTGAAACCTTATGGGCTACCAAATGTCAGATTTCCTTTTTTGTCTCCTTTCTCTGCTAGGCTAACTTTTTAAGAATGATGTTGAATGTGATTGACTTTTTATGGTTCTGACAGAAATAGTGCCGTAACTTTTCTAGAGATTTACTTGAACCTGTACTGCAAATTACCAGTCTTTAATTCTTAAGTATTTGTGATTTAACACACAGATAATGTTTATATCTGTGGTATTCTGACAACGTAACTAGAGAAAACTAGAAAAAAAATAGAAAAACCAAGTAATTTCATTTCTGATGTATTCTGTGGACAAAATTCATCTCAGTTATTTTAAACTTACTATTTTAATATCTTCATTATCACTTAAATTACGAACTCTCTCCACTTATTACCTATTCCTGACTCCTCGTAGGTTTGAATTTTCTCTAATCTTTGTTATTCTAGGAATTATGTTTAGATTAAGAATGGGGAAAGTGACATTGTGTTCTTTAGGTGACTTTTAATGTCTTATAAATTCCTGTTACAGATAGCTAAGAACAAGCAGTATGATATACACACAGAAGTTACAACATTAAAACAAGAAAAGAACGCAGGCTCCAGTGCTGAAGAATGGATACTTAAAGGGTGCAGAACATCTGGTGGACTCAAGAGAGATTTTATAAAGAAAGACTTAGAGCCAGAGACTTTCCAGAACTTTGATGGTGATCATGCATGTACAGTTAGGGATGATGAATTTAAATTCCAAGGGCTCTGGCGCACGGTGACTGCCAGGCAGTTGGTCGAAGCCAAACTTCTGGACATGAAAACAATTGAGCAGCTGCGACTTGGTCTTAAGACTGTTGAAGAAGTTCAGAAAACTCTTAGCAAGTTTTTAACGAAAGCCACCTCAATTGCAGGGCTTTACCTAGAATCCACAAAAGAAAAGATTTCATTTGCCTCAGCAGCCAACAAAATCATAATAGACAAAATGATAGCTTTAGCATTTTTAGAAGCTCAGGCTGCAACAGGTTTTATAATCGATCCTATTTCAGGTCAGACATACTGTGTTGAAGATGCAATTCTCAAAGGACTTATTGATCCTGAATTCAGAATTAGACTCCTTGAGGCAGAGAAGGCAGCCTTGGGGTATTCATGTTCTTCTAAGAAATTGTCAGTGTTTCAAGCTATGGAAAATAGAATGCTTGACAGACAAAAAGGTAAACATATCTTGGAGGCTCAGATTGCCAGTGGGGGTGTCATTGACCCTGCAAGAGGTATTCGAGTTCCTCCAGAAATTGCCCTGCAGCAAGGGTTGTTAAATAATGCCATCCTACAATTTTTACATGAGCCATCGAGCAATGCAAGAGTTTTTCCTAATCCCAATAATAAGCAAGCTCTGTATTACTCAGAATTATTGCAGATGTGTGTATTTGATGTAGATTGCCAGTGCTTTCTCTTTCCATTTGGGGAGAGGAACATTTCCAATCTCAATGTAGCAAGAACTCATAGGATTTCTGTAGTAGATATTAAAACAGGATCAGAACTGACTGCATATGAGGCTTTCCAGAGAAACCTAATTGAAAAAAGTACTTACCTAGAACTTTCAGGGCAACAGTATCAGTGGAAGGAAGCCACATTTTTTGAATCCTATGGGCACCCTTCTTATATGTTGACCGATAGTAAAACAGGATTACAGTTCAATATTAATGAAGCCATAGAGCAGGGAACAGTTGACAAAACCTTGGTCAAAAAGTATCAGGAAGGCCTTATCACACTTACAGAACTTGCAGACTCTCTGCTGAGCCGGATAGCTCCCAAGAAGGATTTGCATAGTCCTATTGTAGGGTATTGGCTGACTACTAGTGGGGAAAGGATGTCTGTCCTGAAGGCCTCCCGTAGAAATTTGGTTGATCGGATTACTGCTCTCAGATGCCTAGAAGCCCAAGTTAGTACAGGGGGAATAATTGATCCTCTTACTGGCAAAAAGTACCGGGTGGCAGAAGCCCTGCATAGAGGCCTAGTTGATGAGGGGTTTGCTCAGCAGCTGCGACAGTGTGAATTAGTAATCACAGGGATCAGCCATCCAGTAACTAACAAAATGATGTCAGTGGTGGAAGCTGTGAATGCAAATATCATAAGTAAGGAAATGGCAATCCGATGTTTGGAATTTCAGCATTTGACAGGGGGCTTGATAGAGCCACAGGTTCACTCCAGGTTGTCAATAGAAGAGGCTCTTCAAGTAGGTATTATAGATGTCTTCATTGCTACAAAACTCAAAGATCAAAAGTCATATTCCAGAAACATAACATGTCCCCAAACACAAAGAAAGTTGACATATAAAGAAGCCTTAGAAAAAGCTGATTTTGATTTCTACACAGGACTTAAACTCTTAGAAGTATCTGAACCCTTGATGACAGGAATTTCTAGTCTCTACTATTCTTCATAAAAGGACATGTTTAAATAACTTTGCACAGGTGTGTGGCTCTGTGATCTGTCCAGATCGTGATGGTGTTAGTTTAATATACATTCTAATAATTGTGTCATGTGGTCTACACACTGTTCATTTCTCAAGAGTTAGAAGTAGCTGACAGCTAAGAAGAGGGAATAATTTTTAAATTGAAAAACAGCAAAACTTACTGCTTTTAAAAATGGTTCCATTTATCTTTGAGATTAGTTTTTTTTAATGTTGCCCACACTAAATTAAAAGTATTTTACCTATGGGATAAACTTGATGAACACCAACAAGTTCACAGCATCCTTTCTTCAGGACTCCATCACCCAATAGATCCAACCTAATGTTAGGATTCCCATTTATTAAATGATCCATTACATTTACTTCAACAAGCATTGTGGACTCAAAGAGAAAAATGTAAATGCCTCCCACATCCATAAGGCTTTAGTGTTTCAGATGGCCTTGAACAATGAAAAAGTTTTAATTCTTCTGTACGTAGTAACCTTCTGTACATATCGAATGTTTATCATAATCTCCTATTTCTAGTTAAGACTGTAATTAAAAGCATGGATGGGTTTTGTATTGGAGTAGGGGGAAAGATTGTTGTTCATTCTATGTGTTTTTCATATGGATATAGGTGTTTTCTATTAGCTTTCCATTGTCTGATACTTTTCTGTCAAGACATTTGTGATTGTAATGCTAACGCAAAGGCAGCAATTCAAAAATCTTCTAGTGCTTCATGAATAAAATTGACTGTTTTTATTTGTCATATTGATAGACCAGCTGGGAGGTTAGACTAATCATGAAAAAATGTTTGTTACAGCATCCTTCGATACTATAAACATTTTTTAGTACATCTATGTGACATGATAAACAAGGTCAAGTAAATGAATAAAGTATCTCTAACCTGTGTGTGATGGAAAACATTTTTACACCCTTGCTTTCTGTGAAGTGTTAGTTTAATAACTTGGTCATTTACTGGAATACATCTTTTTTTTTTTTAATCATTCACACCTGTCAGAAATCACTGGAAGAAGAAAAGAAAGAGCTTGTTGAAAAAGCCAAAGAATTACAGAAATGGGTGTCAAATGTCAGCAAGACCCTGAAAGATGGAGAGAAGGCTGAAAAACCTTCCTTCTCTAAGCAAAAGGTATTCACCGAGGTTCAAGTTAATATGAATAATAGTGAGTAGTGAGCTGACACAGTCCATATAAAAAAATTCTTTACCCTAAATTTTTCCATATTTATAAGCAGTTATAGTGAGTCAGAGAGGTTAAGTAAGTTTGTTAAGGAATCACAGTAAGTGGTAGAAGAAGGTGTCTTTGACTCCAAAGGCTGGACTATATGTGTTAGTGTTAGTAAATGAATATATTGTGATGCTTTTCCTAATAGTTCTATCTGACTCTTAATTGTGATGATGAGAATAGTTGAAGAGCAGAGTCTTCTTGTGTTGTGCCTGGAGTAAATCCTTGCATTCCATATCACCAACATAGTCTCATTCTTAACAAAAAAATACAATTTCTGTTGTTAGCATTTTAGAGAATTGAATTTAGTTGCATTTCTGTGAATCTTTACTATTTCATAAAGAAATATTCTCTGATCACTGGAAATTCTAGATTCTTCACCCAAGTAAATTAATTTTTTTTTATTGAAGTAACATTAGTTTATAATATTGTAGAGGTTTCTGATGCACATCATTATAAATCAATATCTGTATATGCTACATTTTGTTTACCTTTAAAAGTCTCAATTCCATCTTTCCCAAAATGAATTCTTTTGTGGGTTGTCTTCTGTACCCCAACCTTTTGGCATTAATTCTATAGCTGCAGCTCATGTGGTGTTAGTGTTCCAGGTGTCTGTTGAACTGCCCCAGTTGAGACTTTTAGGACACAGATCATTAAGGCGTATTCTAGAACTGTTCCTGCTGGTGAGAACTTTGGGAATGCTGCTATGTTTTTTTAAATAAACTTAGGTTAAACAATTTTTCTTGAATACTTTTCCTACACTGCTCTCCTGCCCTTTTCTGACCTTTGGAAATTATAGGGTCTAACATTTGGTATGCTAATATTAGCATACTTTCTAGTTCTCCATCAGTTCTCTTACTTGTAGCTGAAACAACCATTGTTGACATAATTAAATGGAGGAAACATTGATGTCTTGTCTAATTCTGCCTATGACATGAGGAAAATCTATCTATCTAGGGTTTGCCCTTGGAGTTTATAGACTTAAGTCAATACTGGAACCATTATTCACTTGAAGCTGTGCAAACTCATAATCTTTCAAGCTGTATTTCCTATAATATGGATGAAATAAGACCTTGGAAAGTAATTACATTTGGTGCTTTCAACCTCAATATTTCAAAAAATTCAAAATATTTTCTTCCTTTTCTCCTTTAACCCCCCTCACCAACATTAGGAAAATAAGTAAAATAGGAACATAAACCTTAGTAAGAATTTCTTAGGAAAAAAAATTTATTTTGAGAAATGTGAATTAATAAGCCTTCAGTATTTTCTAATTTTGTAGTTTTATATTCTCTAAAGTATTACTAGATAAACTTTAGATCAAATAGACAAAGTAGATTCTTTAAAAATTCAGATCATGATTTAAATTATAAATATCTAATACTTCATGGCCTCAGAGGAAACTTAAGTTAATTTGTTGTAGATAATAAATGTGTCTTTCAAAAATCAGCATGACCTCACAATTATCTATAGCTGTGAAAAATAGACTTTAAATTGATTCTTAACTGGAATACTTAGGGAGAACATATATCTTTTCATTGGCCAAATATATTCTATTTCTGCTCATTTAGCAAAAAGGTAATTTCTCAAATTATTCAGAAGTGATACACTGAAAGACTAGGAGAAACTGTACAAACACTTGCTTTTCTTCCAACAAATTCAGTTTTATTCCTGATTGTCACAGGGTTTTGCAAATGAGAGTCTTAGCTTTAGAAATTATTTAATCTTGAATTACAGACCAATAGATTAATATTTTCACTATTGTGTTTTCAAAAGGAACTTTGTACCTAGGAGCTTAGGGGAAGAAAGATACTTTTTGCAATGGTGTTCTGACTTCATGAACTTTTTGCATACTACGGTACACAAGGAGGGCATTGGACTGGTGTTAATCCTCTGGCCAACGGGCATTTATGACATTTATTCATGGTTGAACTGGGTTAAATGTATAATGTATAATGCTACAGTATTTCTCTCTGAGAATGAGGGCATAATGGTTAGAAAGAGTGGCTCTCCTTAATCTTGCATTCTAAATAAAGTACTATCCTTTTCCAGGCCTTATAAAATTATATGGAGTCAGTTATTCATTCATTTGTGTCAATCAGAAAGCTGTTAATTAGGTCAACAGCCAATGACATCATTTAGATCTTGATTTAAACTTAGTTGTTAAAATTTACTGTTGTCGAATCATTGTGAGAGGGAGCGCTTGACTGTGTTTTCTCTACCTTGCAGATTTCCAATGAGGAGATATCAACCAAGAAGGAACAGTTATCCGAAGCACTTCAAACCTTGCAGCTATTTTTGGCAAAACATGGAGACAAGTATGTTGGTTTTCACTAGTTCTTTTATTCATGGTAGGGTTGTTTTCTTAAACATGTTCAGCAAAGCAGAAGATAGTAAATTTTGGTTGTGATTTTAAAATTGGAATGGTGCAAGGGGTTAAGACGCAACCTATAAAGCTATCCTCAGCCACTACAGCACGAATATGATCCCAGGCCAGGGAGCAACCCACATGGTGCAGCAGACCTCTCCTGACTCACCCGCTGCTCCCCTTAGCAATATATTTCAGTCAATCTGCCTGTTCTGTTCCCCACTCTATCTCTGGTGAATCCTCTCACCACCCATGCCTCTGGCCTGTACCTCAGTTCTTCTATGCATAAATAAATAAATCTTTTAAAAAAATGGAATGGATCACAAATTTACTTAATAACATAATAATGAAAACTATAAACTTACCAACTTAATTGTCACTTTTGGTCTTTTCCAAAGCCCTAAAATATAAGAGTTATCCCCATAAATTGCTGATAAGTAAATAGACACAGAGAGGTTAAGGATTAATAGCTGGTGAGTAATGAAGACTCTAAGTGAAGTCTTAATTCTAAGACTCACCTTTCTGGAAATATGTGTGAATATTTTCTTAGCTAAAACCGTGGCAAACTGACTTCTCATATTTTGGTTCTGTTGTTTGTAACAAGCCACTTAACTATATTTTAGCTAATGTCTCAGGGAACGAAACTACCCTTTTCTTAAATCCTTTTTGACTGCATTCTAGGATTATTTCAAAATGACTTTGTTTTGTGCCTTAGACAACCAGATAATTTTCTTGTAAAATTTCGTCTTTATTCATCATCCAGCATGCAAAGGTTTCATTTTGGGTGATGGTATCTTATTGTTCCCTTTCTATGTTGGGAGTAACAATGGGATCTTTCCCTCTGTCAGTTAACAGCAGTCGCTGTTTTCAAAACTTGTACATGCTAGAGTGGTGCTGGCTGATATGTTAGTTTGCACCCTTTCCTTAAGTCCCTTTTTTAGGGAAGCAGAGGATTCCTAGACAATTTTAGGGCCATCCTTAATTTTCACATATAGTTGTTAAAAGACTTGAGCAATCTGTATGTCAGGTTATATTTTATCTTACGAACTTATGTGTTCATTTTATGAACTTTTGCATAGTTATTTCAAAAAGTACTCTAATCAACAAGCCTTGTATGTCACCTTCATTATTTGAAGACTTGAATTACTCTTTTACTTCTTGGTTATTTTAGAATGACAGATGAAGACAGAAATGAATTGGAAAAACAAGTGAAAACTCTTCAAGAAAGTTATAATTTATTCTGTAGTCAACCTCTGAAACAACTACAAGAGTCACAAACCTTAGGAGATGTAAGGGTAGAGGAGAAGGTAATATTATTTATTTAAAACATGAAGATGTTTCAAGACTTAGTTTTAATGCATGATTGTAAAATACATGTCAGTGATAAAGAAATGACCTTGAATTGTGTCCATGGAAAAAAGTGGATGGAGTGTATTGAAGTATTGGAGAATTTCAGTGTTTATTAAATGCAGTCTTACACTTGCTGTCATCAATTTCTGTGACATCTTAATCTCTGCCTTGCATGGTAAAAGAAAAGAATCATTCATTTTTCTAACTCACCTCTTTAAAAGCCATTCTTCTACTGCTATATCAGTTATATAAGATCTCATGTTACAAAAGAGTCTATGGGTCATCTCTAAAGGTGACATTAGAGTTTTAAGGGACTTGTTTGATTTTTCAGTGATGTCCCTGAGTTTAAGTAATACTAGCCTATGTTACAGTGAAGATGCCATGGCATCTTCTTAAAAATTAGCAGAATCACCTAAAATTTAAAAATCACTTGAAATGAAAAAATCTTTAAGCTTTTGACAATTGATAATACATATTCACAATATTGGATATTCAACAAAGTATTTGGCATTCAAAGAGTTATCTCCTTGTTCAGTTCCCTTACTCCCTGGAAGAATTTATATACAATTTGTTGCATTTAGGGGGTATATAACAATTTCTTGGTTCCATAATTTTTTTTTTTTACTATCTGAAGAAGTCTGTATGCTGTAAACATCAATAGCATGGGGTTTGATACTCTCTTTCATGTCGGTAGACTAATCTCACCCAGTTGCAGGAAGCATGACTTGCCTTCTAGGTATGTGTTCCTTTTTCTCACTATCATCATTGACTCTGTTGTGTCCTCACTAACCTTGTTAATGTACACAATATTAAGTTTTCAATTCACAGATGCATGTTGTTTTCAAAGCTTTTATCACATCCTGTGCTGTTGAATAGATCACTGACATAGATCACTTGTGCATTTGAGCTGCCTAACATTCACAGCATTGCTGCCTTTGGTAAGTAGAGGATTTTTATGTTGAAGTGTATTAAAAAAAAATGCAATCAGTTTCATGAAACTCTGCCAACCCTTGTATCACAGACTGACCTGAAAATTTTGTACTTTCCTTTTAGCTAAATAAAGTGATTGCAGGCACCATTGATCAGACAACTGGAGAAGTCCTTTCAGTCTTTCAGGCAGTTTTAAGAGGCCTCATTGACTATGACACTGGAATCAGGTTGCTTGAGACACAACTAATGACTTCTGGTCTGATTTCACCAGAATTAAGACAATGTTTTGACCTCAAAGATGCCAAAATTCAAGGCCTTATTGATGAACAAGTTCTGTGCCAACTCAGAGAACTCAATGAAACAAAGGAGATTATTTCTACTGTATCATCTACCACAGTTCCAGTGCTGGATGCTCTGGCTGAAGGCATGATATCAGAACCCATGGCAATCAGAGTTCTGGAGATACTGCTTTCCACAGGCTTTCTACTACTTCCAACCACTGGAGAACAGCTGACCCTCCAGAAGGCTTTCCAACAGAACTTGGTTTCCTCAGCATTGTTTTCTAAAGTCCTGGAAAGGCAAAATATGTGCAAAGATCTTATTGACCCCTGTACCTCTGAAAAATTATCTTTAATAGATATTATACAAAGAAGTATTTTGCAGGAAGACACTGGGATGAGACTTCTACCTGTGAGACCACAAGAAGGAGGCAGAATAACATTAAAATGTGGAAGAAGCATAAGCATTTTAAGGGCAGCTCATGAAGGTCTCATAGACCGTGAAACCATGTTCAGGTTATTAGGTGCACAGCTTCTTTCTGGAGGTCTGATCAATTGCAACTCTGGTCAGAGAATGACTGTTGAAGAAGCTATGGCAGAAGGAATGATTGACAGAGATACTGCTAACAGTATTCTCACGTATCAGGTTCAAACAGGTGGAATCATGCACTCAAATCCTGCTAAACGTTTAACTGTGGATGAAGCAGTCCAGTGTGATTTGATTACTTCCAGCAGTGCTCTTTTGGTGCTAGAGGCTCAGCATGGCTATGTTGGACTCATTTGGCCTCATTCTGGTGAAATATTTCCCACATCATCTTCCTTGCAGCAAGAATTGATTACAAATGAATTGGCATGCAAAATCCTGAATGGCAGACAGAAAATAGCAGCTCTTTATATTCCAGAAACTTCTCAAGTCATTGAATTGGATGTTGCTAAGCAGCTTGGAATTATAGATAATAACACAGCATTGATTTTAAAAAATGTAATACTACCTGATAAAATGCCAGATTTGGGAGATATAGAAGCTTGTAAAAATTCTAAAAGATGGCTCTCCTTTTGTAAATTCCAACCATCTACAGTCCATGATTATAGGCAAGAAGAGGAAGTTTTAGAGGGAGAAGAGCCAGCAGCAACTCAGAGCTCAGAACAAACTAAAAAATTATTCCTCTCTTATTTGATGATAAATAGTTACATGGATGCAAACACAGGGCAAAGGCTTTTGATGTATGATGGCGCCCTGAATGAGGCCATTAGTATGCTTTTGGAAGGCTGTAGTGCAGAATTTGATGAGGACACACCAATAAAAGACTGTCTTGATGTCTCAGGACTCCTTGGTGCTTTTCCGCATGAAGAACCAAGTAAAGAAAAGGATCAAAGTGCAGCTTCAGCAAGTAGTTTTCACAAAAGTCATTGTAAAGGACCTGAACATAATGAAATGCCTGAAGCTGGAAGGCATGCCACAGATGAAGAGTTTAATGAAAGAGAAAATAATGCTGTCAATAGTGAATTTTATCAGTTAGAAAACTTGGCAAATATGAGAACAAATGATCATAAAGTTAAGAATCCATCCGGTGCATGTGTTTCCAGTCCTATACCGCATTTAACACAGCCTGGACTTGCAGAAGTTAACATGTTTAGACAAGACTCAGAAAACATATTTACAAATCAAAGACAAGTTGAAACAAGTGAACTTAGAAATGAAAGTAACCTTTCTAGCAACATTCAAAACTTTGCAGTTGATGTGACAACAACTCCTATTGTGAAATCAAAAACTAGTAGAAACTGTGACTTGAATGAGACAAGTAATGAAGATAATTTAAACAAGGATTCAACTATCTTTGACTATTCTCCCATTCTTAGTGCCTTGTTAAGTCATGATAAATTAAATGAGCAGGCACATTTTCATGATGTGCGCACTGCTGAGAGCAACAGAAATAAATATGAAGACTCTACTTTGCCCTTAAAGGAGCAAACCATGCTGTTGGCTCAAAGGGTGGGAGAAAAATTTCAAGACCAATTTCTGGGAATTGCAGCTATTAGCATCAGTTTACAGGAAGAAAAGAGTGAACAAAATTCTTTAAATAATGGGTGTAGTGATCCTCAAGTACAATATCAAAATGAAACATTTAAAACAGGTACTTATGGAAACAATGAAAAAATACACATTGCTTCTCAGCAGAAATCTGAAGACAAGAAAAATGAATCCAAACTGGAAGAGAATTCCAGTGCCATGACTCCAAAGGTGGAAACTGATAATGCTAATACATCTCATATTTATAGTACACCATTGCTTGAAGAAATTGTCAGTGCTAGAGACTATGAAACATCACTACTGGATGATCAGCAGAGTGACACAGAAACAGAGACTAATAGTGATGATGATTTTTATGATACTCCCCTGTTTGAATATGATGACCATGATTCTCTGCTTCCTGAAGGTGATGGCTGTGATTGTCTACAGCCTGAGGACTATGACACATGGCAAAAGGAAAATGATGGGGCTGGTCCTTCTGGTGTGTTCTATGATGGTTCAAAAGAGAATGGTAATTCTGTGGTTGCTCAGGAGGGACTGGTTGATAACTTAGGTATGAGTGGAAAAGCACAGACTCTTCAGGATTTTCTCATAGATAGTGAGAAAACTGGATTAAGTTCTGGTGAAGGAATACATTTAAATTCAGTTGGCTCATACAAAATCAGTGAACAGTTGCTAGAAACTGCATCAGATAGGGAAAGTGCAAATAACTTGGAAGGTGATGCGTCTGACTCATTGACTGATAATGAAATTGTAGGAGGAAAGGAGAACTTAAGTGCTTCATTAAAATTTGATGATGTTGGTTGTTTCAGAGAGAGAAGAGAAGAGTATATGACTGGACAAGAATTTAATTCTGATTCTCAACATTTAGATACTATGCAAAATGATGAAAGTTATTGGTATTATAGATGTGACAGTAATGATCAGAATGAAGATGATGATAGTGATGATGATTATGGCAATGAAGAAGGAAGAGCAGATGAGACCAAAAAGCCCATGTGCCAAGAAAAGGCTGAAGATACGGATGTCCACTTGTGTCCCACCACCATAAATGAAAAGGGAAATAATTTTGAAAATCAAAGTATTAATAAAATGATTCTCCTGGATAAAATGGACAATTATAGTTCTTCAGAAAAGCAGCAAAGTTTAAATATTTTGCCACTAGAATCAACTAGTAAAGGTAGCTTAACTCTGGAAAGAAGCAATCCTCCAGAATATGCTACTGAGGTTGTTGGAAAAAGCACAGAAAGTCTGTTAAATCATAAGATTGCTTCTAAGGATATATTGCTGCCTGTCATTAAAGACACTGAATCAGAAAACACCTTTGACCCTATAAGTATTTTACATAATACTGATAACAGTTCAACTTCCCAGTTAGGTAATGATGTAATGAACATACAGGTTAATAAAATGATTCAAGGATCAGAATCTGCTGACTCTGTAAAAGGTGGATGTCAATGTTTTGAAAACGTAACACTTCCAGTCAACTCATCCTTTAATAAAATCATTAGTTCTGAGCCTGATGTAATAAGAAAATCTGCTGAGGAAAGCCATTTGTCATCCATAGCTTATGAAACTGACAAAGATAATCAAGGAAATGGAAGAGATTTAATTAAAAAGAAAGATGACAAACACAATATATTAATAGAAGATGAAACATCAATTCATAAAACATGCTCAGATAAAGGAGAAGAGCTTGTAGAAGGTCCACTAGAAGATAATAAATATTTCGAACTTTTGCCTAGTAACAGTACAAGGGAGAGTCTTGATTTAGTTAATAGTCACTTTCCATTACCACATAGCACAAACAGCAAAGAACATAATCAGAAAGGAAGTGTTGTAAAAGCAACTGTAACCCTGAAAGATGATCCAGTGACTCTACAAACAGTGGTTAGTAATTGTCCTGTTCAATCCGAGAATGTTGAAGGAATATTTGACTCACCTGTTATCAAAGTGATCAGTGATGATATTACTGCAAATATTACATTGCCTGAAGGGAATGTAAGTTTTGGGAAAGGTTCACTCACTGTTACAGCTGGGAAAGAACTTGATCAGTTTACTTATTTAAAACATTGTACTCAAAATGTAGAAACAAAAGATGTACTAAAACCCAAAGAAGACATCCCACACTGTATATTAGTAGCTTCCTCTCCCATAAGAGAACACCAAGAATTAGGAGTTAATTATGCTCAAGAGAAAGAAACTATTACTCAAGAAGAATCACATCAAAGTGATATAATACAAAGGAATGATATTTGTACTAAAGAAAATGTCTCAGAAGGAGGAACAGAAATTCTTCAACTCATCCCAGAAAGAAATGAAAGCATGCTTTCAGTCTTACCTCTTAGAAATATGGAAAGCCTTGGGAGTAATACTGAGTCTGTGCCTAACTCCTATAACACTTTAAGTACTGACTGCTTATCCTTAGAAAATAATGATAAGAAAGAAATAATTGAAGAGAAGCCAGATAAAGGACAAACCTTGTCTTCAGGTCTCCAAGTAAAAGAGGTTCAGATTGCTGAATTATCCCAGATGTTTCTTGAAGATGAAAAGGATAACTTAATGGGTAGGTTGAAAGAAGGCCATATGAATCCTCAAGAGGTTGGAGAACCTTCAGTCTGTGCAGATACTAAAATTTTAATTCAAAACTTAATTAAAAGAGTTAGCACATTACAGTTGGCAAATGAAACATCAGGTGCACCCAGCAGTTCTAAAACCAGTGACTGTTCTGGTATTTACCCCATGAATAACTCACCAGTGTTAAAGGCAGAGAGTGGTCCGTTCTGTATTGAAAACCTCAAGTCTGAACTTCTCCTTGATATACTTAAGCAAAGTCAACATAGTCAGAAAATTACAGGAGCATTTGAATTGATGAAGGAATTGACACAGATGGACTATGATCTAGAGAAAAGAGGCATTACATCTAAAGTACCTCCACTGCAACTTGAAGATATTTTCTATAAGCTGCTTGTTGATGAATGTTCAGAGAAAGTCGAACAGATTGAAGAATCAAGTAAAAAACCATCTACTTCAGAGATGGTAGAGGAAAACCGACACATTCTTGATGATCTTAAAAGCAAAGAAGGAAACCACTGTTCCCTTAATTTACAAAATACACAAGCTAGACCAGGAAACACTACTGTGTGTGCATCAGCATTGCCAAGAGATGTGAAGTTAGAGGAGCTATGCAGTGATTTCCCAAACCAGGGGGAATGCATTTCAGGGTCAGAAGAAATGACTGAAAGTAGCTCCATGGAACAGGTAAGTTGATTTACATATTTTTATGTGTAAGTAGCTACATGAAACTATTTGGGAATAACCCCATACATTTATTTGCTTAAAAATTCCACATTAGGGCTGTTGAATTAAAATAGTCCAACTTTGTGTTTAGTTTTCTAGTGAGTTACAACGGTGTTTACAGCACACATCAAAAATGCGCGAGTATTTCACTTTACTTCAAGATATGAAGCCACCATTAGGTAACCAGGAATCTCTCGATAACAGCCTAGAAGCTTTGAAGAACCAACTAAAACAGTTAGAGGTAAGAGTTTTCTGCTGCCTATTATGGATGGTAATCAAATGATGTTAATTGATGAAATGATGAAAAATAAGTAGAACACTTTACTCTTAGGTTATGAATATATTGGTTTTGTTTGTGTTTCTCACTGGTCTGGATTATTTTTTTTTTTCTTTTTGGTAGACATTTGAATTGGGATTGACTCCAATTGCTGTTCTTTTAAGAAAAGATATGAAGTTGGCAGAAGAGTTTTTAAAGTCTCTTCCCAGTGATTTCCCTAAAGAACATCTTGAGGAATTGAGTAAAAGCCACAGAAGTTTGCAAACTGCTTTCTCTTCCCTCAGCAATGTGTCTTCAGACAGAAGGAAGCACATCATGCTAGCAATTGATTCTGAAATGGTAGGTATCAGAATGTTTCTTACTGAGTCAAAATTTGAGTTCTGAGGAAAATTCAATTATGTGAAAATTTAGTTTTAAGAAGAAGTATTTTATTTTTAAAGTGTTAAGTCCTTCAACAATCATTATTTGTAGGAATTTGAAATTTGAGGACAGAAAGAAATAAATGCAATTTTATTTCCTAGTCTAAATTAGCTGTTACCCATGAGGAGTTTCTGCATAAACTTGAGTCATTCTCACATTGGATATCAAAGAAGAGCAAATCTGTGAAGGATATCGATATTGTGAATGTTCAAGATACTGACCATGTAAAGAAAAATTTGGATTTCCTCAAGGCAAGTAGCAAAGGACAAAGTACATTTAAAAAAACCAGTGGATTTTATAAAATGGTTAGAAAAAAATATGACTTTACTATAAAAATTCCACTGCCTATCAATGCTTATTACCACTGCCATTTAAGAATTGTATTTATGTATTAGTCAAATACAAAATGCTATAAATTAGTCATACAAATACATCATAGTGTAAGTTGGATTTATTTGTTAGTCATTTTTGTCATAGCTTTCTCCCTCCCCAACCCAAGTTATTAATTTCAACAACATGCCTGCCTCATAAATGATGGTTAGACTCCTGACCTGGGAATCAGAAACCTGAAGTTTTGGTACATTTAATTTATGTCAAATCTACATGGTCTTGTTCATGTTCTACCACAATTACTTACATGTTGTAAATATTAGCAAATAGCATTTTATTTATTTTTTTGTTCAAATGTCTTTTTTTAAAAAAAGATTTATTTATTTATGCATACAAGAGCTGGGGTATAGGCCAAAGATGTGGGGGGTGAGAGGATTCACCAGAGACAGAGTGGGGAACAGAACAGGCAGACCGACTGAGATACACTGCTGAGGGGAGTAGCAGGCGAGATAGGAGAGGTCTGTTTCGCCATGTGGGTTGCTCCCTGCCCAGGCAGGGATTGAACTCATGCTGCAGAGGCTGGGGATTGCTTCATAGTGCGGTGCGTAACCCCTTGCACCACCAGGGAGGCCCCACAAATAATATTTCAATGCTGTTGTTTCCCTTCAGTGTGCTGAATGTACCTAAGTTAGATCTTTATCTTTGTCTGAATTACATTTTAAGTATGATTTCAAGCAAGTTTAAAATAATCTTAGAGGGATTATCATTTAGAATATTTATTGCCATAGCATTTAAATAGTATTAGTGCCACATATTAATGGATGATGAATGGATTATTGACAAGATGAATAATGAAAAAATGTCAAGAAAGCTTTGATTCCATGATATAAAAAGCCTATTTTTAAAACAAATGTTATTGTAAATGTAAGCTTTATATTAAGGCATAACTTCCTCTTGAGTAACTTATACTACTTTGTTGACAGAATGTGTTAAAAGACATTGGACATCACAAAACGCAGCTGGAGACAACTGCCTTTGATGTGCAGTTCTTCATTTCTGAATATGCACAAGATCTGTCTCCAAACCAAAGCAAGCAACTGCTGAGGCTTTTAAATACAACTCAGAAGTGTTTTCTTGATATACAGGAATCAGTAACTACCCAGGTGGAACATTTAGAAACTCAGTTGCGCCTAGAACAAGATCTTGATGATCAGAAGGTTTGCCTTTCTTTGTGGAGTTGGAATTCTTTGTTTTTAGTTCTTTAGTGTGAAAGTATGAAGCCTGTAATATAAATTTCCAGGTTTATAGTATGATAGGAAAGATTTTCTGAAAAAGAATTAACGGGTAGGGTACAATGTAGGTATTATATATAGCAATATTGTTTTCTTAAACATGCTCTAATGCAATGATTTTAATTTCATGACTCTAAAACTACTGTTTTCATATGGGAGTCTTGCTTTTTGTTTTTAGGAGTAGGAAATATGTATTCATTTCTATAGCTCTGTATATATACAGATGCAGAAATTTCCAGGATAGATGATGGACATACAGATAAATAAGGCTAAGGGTGACTTTCTCCACTGGGAGGCATATGGCACAGCAGTTCAGGGCATGGGCTGAGTTTATTTCCCAGCTACACTCACTGATGGTGTAACCTAAGGTAAATCAGTCTTCTCATTGATAAATTGGAAATAGCAGTGCTTACCTGATAGCATTATGACCTTTGCTAAGAGAATGACTATAAAGCATTTTGTACCTCACCTGGCACGTGTTAGGCTCCTAGTAAATGTGATTTATGGCTATAAGATAAATAACTAGTGTGCATACAATAGGACTATGAAAGATGCAAGTAATTAATATTAACTTAGTAGAAAGACTTAGTGATATATATTAGAGTGCTATGTCTAATAGGAACAATGATCAAAAAGGCGGGAATGGAATTAGTGATTAAGTAAAAGTATTGCATGCAATATTTTCCTTTTATTATTTCTTAAAGCACCTAGGCATTGTCTCTAGCATGATAACCTGTATACACATATCAAATATGTTAATAGACAAAGCACTACTAACTTCTGTTTTGATATCCTTTTGCAGAATTAATTGTGTGTGTTGCAGTTTTCAGGAGCTTAAGAAAATGGAATGTTTCTTCTTGTCGGTCAGAAGTTTCATCTCTTTACACATATGCATGGCCAGTATTCTGTTGAGCAGTTTCACCCAAACATGATCTCTTTCCTTGTATAGAGGACATGCTCTTACATTCTGTGTCATCTTGCTCAGTTTGTACCCCACTGCTATCATGTTTACAGCATACTTAGGAAAGCTTATGTAAAGGAAACTTGCAAAATGTGTTCTATTAAGGAATTATTACAATTATGAGTTTATGACTGTACATTTAAGATGCTTCGGCTTTGCTCTACTTTAGATTGTGACAGAACGCCAGCAGCAGTACAAGGAGAAACTCCAAGGGATTTGTGATCTCCTCACCCAAACAGAAAACCGCCTGATTGGTCACCAAGAGGCCTTTGTGATTGGAGATGGCACAGTTGAGTTAAAAAAGTACCAGTCCAAGCAAGAGGTAGGATTTGGTTTTGCATCAGTGGGTCTATGTTGATGTTGACTTTGATTACAATTATTTAGGAAAAGTTAGGATTATTGAAAAATAACAATTTTACCTTTCTAAGGCAAGGCACACCTATATGTCCCAGGTCTGAGCTTTATATACTAAGAGTTATATTTCCAACTTGTACAATCTAGGTACACGGTAGTTTCCTGGACTGTTTTTGGTGGAATACTGAGTAGAAGAAATATAAAAGAGATTTGATAATAGAAATACTTTGTGTGGTGAATTAAAATTTGAATCCATTTAAGGTCAACTTACTTGCAAATTAGGTTAAATGAACACCAGTTTGAGATCTTTCTCTTTCTTAGTTCCTTTAGATTCCTTTCATCTCTTTCTGCAGTTTGTTCCTTTTCACTGAAGGAACAAATAATAATGGCAAGGAAATCTTTATTTTGTTGTCAAGAGAAGATTCTCATTGTATCTAGATAGTTTTTGGTACAAATCCAAGATTATACATGACGGCTTTATAATTTTTCGGGCCTCAGTTTCTTTACTGATCATACTAACATTGCTATATTATTGTAAAGAGTTTAGCAAATATTTGCGTTGAGCAACTAGTGCAGTTAATATCACATATTGGTGGCTCTGTAAATTTCTCTTTCAATTAAAATTTGAAATGAAAAAATTGAGGATCCTTAAAATAAAGGTATGGAGAAAAATATGAAACTTCAAACAATATAGGGAATGAAAATGCACACTAAAGGAGAAAGAGAAGGAAGAAAATTCATAGAGAATACTGGACAGAAGAAGACTGTAACTGCTGAGGAGAGTTGTGCTTCTTAGCAGCCAGGCAAAGAAGCACACATATTACAGTGCTCTGCTGTTCAGAGAAGAAATTATCTTAGTGTTTTTTTTTTTTTTAATTTTCTTTCTTTTTTTTTTTAAGGTTTATTTATTTATTTATACAAGCACTGGGTACAGTCAGAAGCGCGGGAGTGTGAGAGAATTCACCAGAGCCAGAGCGGGGAGCAGAGCAGGCAGAAGGACCGAAGTACACTGCTGAGGGGAGCAGCGGGTGGCAGGAGAGGTCATTGCAGAGGCTGTGGGCAGCTTTGCAACCCAGCGCTCAACCGCTGAGCCACCGGGGAGGCCCAGAAATTATCTTAGTTTATGGGGACAACTATTTTGTTTTTATCCTGAGCACTTATATATTTTTTAAAATGTTTACAAACAATAAACAATATTACAATGTTTTCAAAAGTTTTATAAATACATTCACATAACACTATGTAAATTTATAAATATTATATATTGGATAGTTCAGGGTTTTCAGTGTTTTGCAAATCACATCCCTTGGTTAAACATAAAAAAATCTCAGACTTATAAATGCTACTTGAGATTTCAAATTATATTTAATATTGTGATTTAAATGAACTCAAATTAAAATTGAATATGCTTGTCAACCTATATATACTAGATTCTCAGCTACTCACCTCTTCTTTTACAATTACAATTGTGGAAGAATTAATATGTAACTATTTAATAAGATTTTTTTCTTTCACGTTAAAAGGAATTACAGAAAGATATGCAAGGAAGTGCACAGGCATTGGCAGAAATAGTGAAAAACACAGAGATCTTTTTAAAAGAGAATGGCGAAAAGCTGTCGCAAGAAGATAAGGCTTTGATTGAACAGAAACTTAATGAAGCTAAGATAAAGTGTGAACAACTTAATTTAAAAGCAGAACAGTCGAAAAAGGAGCTGGATAAAGTTGTGACGACAGCAATCAAGGAAGAAACTGAAAAGGTCTTTATTCAGACAGAAATGTGGTAAACTCTTGCTTTGTTGAAAATGATTGGTGTAATGCTTATTTGATTTAGGTAGCTCATGTTTAATTACTTGATAAGTGATATTAGATGATAAGCAAAAATTGGTACCAGAGATTTGAATTTTAGATTGCCAGGTATATAAGTGACTAGATACTATCATGAGTTTGAAGAGTTAGCTTTTTGCTTAACTATAAAAAAATTTATGTGAGTTTGTAGACTTTCTAATTGTGAAATGTGTGAGGACAGTTAATTATGGTTAAAATTTTGGAGTGTGTTTTCAAGAACAGTGAAAGCTTCAAAGTACTTGTTGCAGTTACTGAATTCTAAAGTTTAATTTCAGTGTGTGTAGTTTTAGTATCTCCACTCTAATTTTAAATGATCAAAATATTTACTTTTGGACTATTTTATAACTAATGCCATAGCCTGTATTCAGAGTGCCTATTGTGTATTGTTCCTGCCTAGGCTGCTGCAGTGAAACAGCTGGAAGAGAGCAAAACCAAAATAGAAAACCTTTTAGACTGGTTATCAAATGTTGACAAAGAATCAGAAAAGGCAGAGGTAAAACAGAAGCCGGCAATTGAACAGAATGGAACTCATTTTCAAGAAGGTGATGGCAAGTCAGAGATAGGAGAAGAGGATGAGGTTAATGGTAACCTGTTTGAAACTGTTGTTGATGGGCAAGTTGGAACCACGGAGGAGAATCTGAACCAGCAGTACCAGAAAGTTAAGGTGTGTTGTTTTTAGACTTAATAATATTCTTAAATTCTATTTTCAGGTCTGTGAAAGCAATATCTTTTCAAGCTTTCATGACCACAGAGAGTGAATTCCTTTTGTTTAGGCTCATCATTATGTCAACTATCGTTATTGGGAGAATTCTAAGCAAGTAGCAAACAGTGGGAGATGAAACATTAGTTACGGCTTTCTTATAAGTTAAGCAAAGTTATAGGAGTAATTTGGATGATAGGGCAAAACATAAATAACTTAGTTCTGTGGGCTCATAGAAGGTGGTAACTTTGTACTAAGAACAAGAGAACAGCTGGAGAAAAAAGTTCCAAAGTGCCAAACACAGTGGGGATATTCTGGTAGCAGCTCTTCCCTCACAAATCCACTTGGCACCGCCACCTTCTTCAAGTCTTTGCACATATCTCATCTTCTTCATGTTACTATTCAGATGATCCTGTTTAACTCTGAAAGCTGACTTTCAGTCCCACACCCAACCACCCATCCCCAAGTCTGACTGATTGTTCCTTTAGCCCTCAGCACTGGAGAGGAATGGAAGAGGCCTTAGGTGGCAGAAAGAGTTCTGACATAGTGGGATCTGGTTGCTTGGCTTCATGGAAGACATTAAAGGAAATATAGGAAATTGCTCAGATGGATTCTTCTTCTTACTACATTTGTATGCCATGCTGAGCTGAATGGTAGATACTGCTTATGACTGGAGAGAAAGGGATCCTGCTGCCCAAGGTCCACACAGCTGCCCTTACACCTGGGGTGACCCGTGGCTCTGCACACCTATGACCTGTGGAGCACACCTGCCGGGCTGGAAACTGTGTTCTTCACTTTCAGAGTGATTTTAATCCCTGGCTTACATCATGCCCTTCCAAGAAGTGTTCTCTGTGTGTGATCTCATGCACTCATTTCAACAAACCTTTGATGCATAGGGATTATTATCTCCTTTTTCCACATGCAGAAGAGTGAGGCCGAGGGAAACTAATAAATCTGATTTTCTCTCTCTCTCTCGCTCTTTTTAATAGATGTTCCTCTCCTGTTGGGCTTTTCTGAGTGTACCTTTTCTTGATTAATTATTGTCATAGTGTCAGAATTTTTTATTGCTTTAAATTGCAAATTATTTGTTTTTCTATTTAAGTGTCTTTTCATCATCATTTCCTAATAAAATGTGTTATACTTACTTGTTCAATTATAAGGTAAAGAATTGCAGCCCCTTTTGGGTGGTTGTAAGGAAGCAATGAGTAAAATGAGATCAGAATGCAGACGCCTGTTTTAGAATTGGAAGAAAAATTCATTATACTTTTTCAAAATTTCTCTAGAAGAGTACGTGGTTTATGTGATCGGTTACTTTCTACAGAAGATTAGAAATCTCCTTTTAAAAAGTGTTCAAAATGAAGCTTTTGCTAGTCTGAAATTCACCAGTAAAGGAGAGAGACTGTGCACCTTGAAAAGGTTATTGAGAAGGAAGTTGTCAGGTTTAAATGTTGCATTAAGATTGCAAGTACAGAGGCGCCAGTGAGCCCCTAGTCTTAGGGTAGCCCCATCACTACTCTGAATTTGCAGTTGGCATTTTTTCCACACAGGCCCAACATGAGAAGATCACTTCTCAGCACCAAGCTGTCCTCCTGGCCACTCAGTCTGCACAAGCCTTGCTTGAGAAGCAGGGTCACTATCTCTCTCCTGAGGAAAAAGAGAAACTGCAAAAGAACATGAAGGAACTAAAAGAGCATTATGAAACCGCACTGGCCAAGTCCGAGAAGAAAATGAAGTTGACGCATTCTCTGCAGGAAGAATTAGAAAAGTTTGATGCTGATTATAGTGAGTTTGAGCACTGGCTGCAGCAATCAGAACAAGAACTTGAAAACTTGGAAGCAGGTGCAGATGACTTCAATGGTTTAATGACAAAGTTGAAGAGGCAGAAGAGTTTCTCGGAAGATGTTATTTCTCACAAAGGGGATTTGAGATATATCACCATTTCTGGAAACAGGGTGTTAGAAGCAGCCAAATCTTGCAGCAAGAGAGATGGTGGTGGCAAGGCTGGCCAGGATGATATTGACACTTCTGCAACACACAGAGAAGTCCAGAGCAAATTGGATCATGCCACTGATTGGTTCAGGTCTCTCTATTCTAAGGTAATTTTACTCTTTTATTTTAAGGGGAAGATCAATATTTGGTTGTAGTTTTTCGCTCTGCACTCTCAACTTTTGTTTGACAATTAGAAGCAAGAAACCTAAAAGCTGAAGCAGGGAAGATAAGGTGGTTTCACCTTGTTTCCCTTAGTCTTATTATTCATCTGCTTTACTTCTGAATAATGAGTTTAAATTAGGAGCTTAAAGTTTGTTTAGTTAGTTTTGAGAGTTTTCCAGGAAGCTGTACCTCATAAACTGTAAGACTGAATTTGACCACTAGGTGGCATTTATATTTTGACTAAGCAGAAAAACTTGCTAATTTACAGCCTCTCAAGCTTGAGAAAGGAAGTTTCATCTCAGATAATTCCCTTCAGTACTACAAATGTGGCACAAGGGGTTGAGACACAACCTATGAAACTATCCGCAGCCACTGCAACACAAGTTCAATCCCTGGTCAGGGAGCTGCCCACATGGGGCAGCAGACCTCTCCTGACTTGCCTGTTGCTCCCCTCATCAGTGTATTTCAATCTACCCACCCGTCCTGTTTCCCACTCTGTCTCTGGTGAATCCTCTCACCCCCCACACCTCTGGCCTGTACCCCAGTTCTTGTATGCATAAATAAATAAATCTTAAGAGAAAATACTACAAATGTTTATTTTATAAAAATATTTGATCGTAGCCTCCCCTGGTGGCACAGCGGTTGAGCACTGGGCTGAGAGGCTGCCCGCAGCCACTGCAGAGCTGGTTCATTCCCAGCTGCCGGCGAGGGTCCCACAATATATATATATATATATATATATATATATATATATATATATATATATATTTGATCAGTGCATTAACAATTACTTGCATTAACAATTACTGACTAGAAGACTCTTTCAGCTTCTCTTATTCCTGTGGACAAGTAAATGTTTTGTTTTAAAAAAAAAATCTTAGAAAACATTTTCTGTGAACAATATAAGCTGAAGAGACTGACCAAGAGTGTAAATGATTTGAAGAGCTTCATTGGCCTACAAGATTCAGTGCTTCATTTTGACCTAGATTATTTACCTTCCTGTTAATCTTATTCAACATGTAGAAATGATTTATTGAACCTCTTGAAAACCTGTGAATCAAATTCATATCTATACATATGGAATATGAATGCCAGTGGGGAGATACCTTAGTAGATCAGTCTCCTCTCATGATTGATATCAAAATCCATCATTTTGGGTTAAGACTCAGCCCTTATAAATATGTTTTTGAATTGGTATAAGCCTAGAACTGCTTCCTCATTTTTATGGCTAATGTTTTCAAGTCTGTGGATGCTTCTTAAAATAAAGAAGAAAATCTTAGCCCTGTAGTTTTCACTAATTTTGGTTGAAATCTGGTGTTGTCCAAGTTGCATAACTCGTATGTCCCAAGGTTATTTAACACATAAAAAATAGTGGCATTGAATCCCCCACTTCTGTTCTCTTTTGATTCTTTAGTGCAATGTCCTTGGGAATAACCTTAAAGATCTGGTGGATAAATATCAACACTATGAAGATGCTTCTTGTGGACTTATTTCTGGACTCCAGGCCTGTGAGGTCATAGCAAGCAAACACTTATCGGAACCTATCGCTGTGGATCCTAAAAATCTGCAAAGGCAATTAGAAGAGACAAAGGTAAATGGAAAGAGTTATAGAAAACTAACCTTTTGGTCATCTTACTGAAAATCTTTCACTTCTACACACTTTTGTGACTTATAGTTTTGCCTAGAGAAGGGGAACAAAGGATGGGAAAATATACTTCTCCCTCTGAAGGGAGATATGACTCTGGATCTCCAAAGTTCATTCATTTCCCTTTTATTTTTTGTCCACTGTTATTTAAATGGTCTGACATTGATGTTATGACATGTTACCTGCATCCTGCCATACACTCTTCCCCAAATGAAGACCAGTATTGTGTAGGCCACTTGTTTACCTTTGTAATTATTTATTTTGTTCATTTTCTTTCTCATGGAGGTTGAAGCTACGTGAGGGCAGTCGTTTTCTCTGTTTTGTCGATTGCTGTGTCCCCAGCACTTAGAACAGTACCTGACCCAAAGTATGACTCAAGGGAAAAAGGATGTTATTGTCATATTCAGGGTCAGAGGATCCCAATTGAGGTTCTGTTGCAAATCCCCTTGATTCATAGAGATAAAGACCTAATTATTACCTAACACAGTTCTCGGAAAAATCTACCAGCTCTTTCAAAAATGTAAATTTGATGTGGGAATTGGTATGCTAGGTCCATTGTTATGTTTGTGAAGACTCAAAACCCTGTCTCTACCCTTGTATTCTAAAAAGATATTTTGCGGGGAGGTACTCTTAACCTTTCTTCATCTCCTTAAAAATTCTGGGATGCAAATAAGCTGTCCCTGTGGCTTAGACTTCAGTCTCATTATAAGCAAAGTTCCTGTTCTGAGGGATTTCTTGTACTTTCTATAACTCTCTAGGAGAATTTCCCAAACAGGTTCACTCTGATGCAGATTTTTTGGCTTCATGGAACAATTGTGGAATCTGGTATTCAGCTTGGTCTCATGTCTTATGTTGGCCACATTCGGGTGAACTTTTTGACATATTACACAGCAGCCTGTATGTCATCACAATTTATTGGCTATGAAAATTAGCTGTGAAAGTTTCTGCCATTAAAGTTTGGCATTTATGTGTGTGTGTGTGTGTGTGTGTGTGTCTGTGTGTCTGTGTGTCTGTGTGTGTGTATGTGTGTACTGGCACATACTTGCCCACGTTTTGCCACAGCACCTGAGGATGGTAGGTATGCTGGCAGCCATTCTTTATCCTGTGGGGTCCTGGAGTAGCACTCAGGGCAGTTACCCCATCCCCTTTGCCACTTCTGTGCTAACATCAAGCAGCCCTCCTGGGTGGCTACACCTGTCTCCTCCGAGGATTTTCCAGACCATTGCTCACCAGCACCAACAGGCCCTCATGATAATACCTCTCAGAGCTTAGGCATATACTTAAGTTGAATGAGGGCTGAAACAGGTGAAGATATTTTTAGGCCTTAAATCCTATATTTTCATTTATTATTCATTTACTCATATATTTCAAAAACTATTATTAAGGTCATCTATGTGCTAAGCAGTGGACTAGGAAGTGAGAATAGGAAGATGAATAAGATGAATTCCTAGTTCTCCAGGAGGTTACAGTTTGATAGAAGTGACAAATAAATCCAGTATAATACACAGGGTGTTTGTGGGAGCTCTTGAGGGGAATATACTTATACCTGGGGGTGGGGAGGAGAGAGTTAGGCAGACTTCCCTGCTGAATTTTAAAAGGTGAATAAGAGCCCAGCTTGGATGGTAGGGGGTAAGTTTCATGTGAAAGTAGGTATATAGAGATGTTGAAGCATTGCTTTAGCATGTGCAAATACCTAAGAAATACTTGTGTTGTTGGACATTTCTGGAAGGTGGCAAAGGTTGAAATTGGAATAGGTTTCATTACACTTTTATAATCTTTGCCTTTGTTATGGAAGCCATAGGAAGCCACTGAAAGATTTTACAGATGGGAGTGACATAGTCAAATATCTATTTTAGATAAAATTCATTGACAAACCATAGGGAAAGACTGGAAGCAGTTAAAATGCTTTTTTTTTTTTCCATTTGAGTGAGAGGTTATCTTACAGTGATCTAGAAATATTGAACAAGGTCTGATTTTAAAAGAAAATTGGGCAAGTAAAATTGTCAGGTCTTAATGGTTGCTTCACATGCAGAAAGGAGGTCTAAGGATTTAGGGGAGCCACAGGTTTGCTACTTGGGTAATAAGAAGCATGGGGCAGGGAATGAGATGATGAGTTTAGATTTAGCCTTTTGCATTTTTGGTGACCTTTTACACCCAGATGGAAATATTCAAGAGGCAGTTGGAAACCTGGGCATATGGCCAGGGATGAGTTCATCCACAGATGGAGATGTGGGACTTGGAGTTTGAAATCCAAATGAGAGACTACAAGAGAAACTTGGGAACCTCAAGTGAAATTAAGCCAAGCATGGGGCTCATGTGGCCATGCAGATGCAGTCCATTTGGATAAGGTGCAGATTGCAGGGTCAAACATCCAGAAGACTTAACTCTGGTTCCTGCCCTTATTTCTTTTTTCCTTATTCTTGCTGTTGAACTGCCTCTGCTTTCTCAGTGAATTGCAGGGAGCTCTTTCAGCCAAGTCAAGGTTAGTGTTCTTTCTAACAGTGGTCATTGTTAACTTCCCCCACTTTGTCTCTTTGTGGACAAAGCTGTTACGGGGCCATGTTTCATCTCCCTAATTACATTTGTTCTGTTATTTTTCCTTTCCTCATCACTTTACTCTAAGTGTAATCCATGATTCTTTATGGTCTCCTTCTCTGGCATCTCTGTACTTTATCTTTGCTGACCTTACAATGGATCTTTACCACTGCGCTATTTGTCTCATTCCAGCCTGTGTTCAGTTTCCTCCATTTTCAGCTGTTGAATTTCTCAGCTTCCCTTCAGTCAGGCATTCGGTCTCTATATGATGGTACTCTACAGCTCTTTGAAGTCATCATGGGACTAATTCCCAAACTCTTCTTTGCTCCTACACTTGCTCCCACTTTTGCTTATGGATCTGTTAATTACCTGGATTCCGAAGCTTTGGGTATGCTTCTTCTCTTGGCTCCTCTTGATCTTTGTTCCTGCCTCTTATATCCAGTAGACATTCTGTGATGACTGACTGTTCTGCACAGTGTGGTGACCACTAGTCATATGTCACTTAGCATTTAAATGTGGCTCATACAACTGAGGAAATACATTTTTAAATTTTGTTTGATTTAAATTAAATTTTAAAAAAGCCACGTGTAGTTAATGGCTACCTTGTTGGACAGCACAGCTTTACATAACCAGTCATCAAGTCCAGTAGACTCCTCCCAACTCTGTAACCAGTGCTACTTTGTCCAGACAGCCCTCCCTCCTTTCCTAGTGCTGAAGTTGAACAGGTATGTCGCTTCGTCTCTTCACCATTTAATTTATCCCACACAGTGTTACAAATTTAGCTTTCCCATAAGAGAATCTGAGTGTGTCAGACCCTTTTTCAAAAGTTGATGTCCACTGCTTCAGGGTAGAATGCTAACTCTTCATCCTGACATTTGAGGCCTTGATAGTCAGTCACTGTTTATCCTCCCATACACATCCTCCTGTGATGTTTCTGCCGTCACCTTTGTGCCTTCTGTTCCTTTTTCATGTTTTCACACTCTACTTCTACATGCCCAAGTCCATACTTGTGCAGGATCCTTCTCAGTGCCACTACCATTGAGGTGACCCTCATTTTCCTCCCCAGTGATTCTTTCTTTTGATTTCCAGTAACATTTTTTTTTTACTCATCTTTAGCACTTACCACTTCCTGCCATAGGCTATAAAATTCTTGTGGGCAAATAAACTTTGTGCTTGATTTTTGTATTTCCACAAGCATATCAAGTTTTTCTTTGAAGTTGTTGCATGTTTAGTAACTTTCGTTAAAGAGACAAATAAGACTCTGTATTGAGGACCTAATAAAATGGAAGTCCTTAGTTATGTCCTTGCCTGAAGTTGGAGTTTTCTCAAAGCTTGGCTACTGTTGATTTGTTTTTGTTTTCTGGTGGTAGTTGGGATATTGTACAAAGCCTGAAAGTGGGGATTAAGGAGGAACTGAGGCTATTGGTAGAGTGTTGCTGGATCCACAATCAGGCCAATTATAACGGGGGCTTATTTCAAGACTGAATTTATATTAATCCTGACTGAAGCTTTTGCTCATGCCACTTTATATCTGGCCTTATTCTAAGAACTCTGAAGTAAGTTTATAATGATGGAAAGTTTACTCTGTCCAATTTAAATTTATATCATACCGTAAGTCATACTATAAGTCATTTGCTTCATATTGGAAATCTCTTATTCAGTTCTGCTGAGTGTAATTTATGCATGTAATCCTATAGGCTCTGCAAGGACAGATCTCAAGTCAGCAGGTTGCTGTAGAGAAACTGAAAAAAACAGCTGAAGTGCTTTTAGATGCCAGGGGATCATTACTTCCAGCCAAGAATGATATCCAGAAAACACTGGGTAAGTGTTCATTTACTTGATTCCTGACCTACAGGTAAATTCCACATGAAGTTACCCTACTAGATTTGGAGAAAACCTTCACTAATATATTGGGTAACTCGTGTGAGTGATGCTCCACAGTCTGGAAGAAGTCATGCCTTTTCTAGCACATTTGTTGGAATCTTTAGAGAAGGGACTAGGTAGTTTGAAAGGAGCATATTTAAATTTAAATTTTATATTTAGAAAATGTAGCAGAAAGTCTTTATTTATGAAATATTCACCACAGAAAGCAGAACTTAACATGATTCTCTTGGTGGATGAAACTGGGCAGAGCTAGACACTCAATCTATGTCCAGAATTGACTCTCTGGGAGGATCTGTCTTTATCAAAAGCAGGAGCATGGGTTTCAGAATTGAAGGCCATACTTTGTAGCAGTGTTTGCACTCTTCCATTTGTTAGACATCTTTGAGTGGTCTCACAGGGTTCCAATTACCCCAGTTCTTCAGTGATACTAGAAACTTGTATCACATTAAATGGTGCCTTTGTGCTCTGTAATTAGATAGTGCATTTCTTCAGAAAATAGTTAGTGCATGCTATACTTCATTTCTACTAATAGTATTTAGTTTGTACTAAGTGCACTGTGAACTATCAATACATGTTCATTATTTTACTGTACTCTTGTTTTGACTTTGCTGCTTTTCATAATATTTAATGTATGCTTTTTAATGTGTGAAATGAAACAACTTAACATAGCAGATGATGAGACATATGTTTTACCCCAAGCAGAGCATAAGTTAAAATTAGGGTAGAGGGCCTCCCCGGTGGCGCAGCGGTTGAGCGCTGGGTTGCGAAGCTGCCCGCGGCCTCTGTGGCGCTGGTTCGATCCCCGGCTGCTCCCCGGCCACCGGAGGAGGGTCCCACATGGCGAGCAGACCTCTCCTGCCGCCCGCTGCTCCCCTCAGCAGTGTACTTCGGTCCTTCTGCCTGCTCTGCTCCCCGCTCTGGCTCTGGTGAATTCTCTCACCCTCCCGTGCTTCTGACTGTACCCAGTGCATGTATAAACAAAAACAAACAAACAAATAAATAATAAATAAATAAAAACATGCCTCTATAAAAAAAAATTAAAAAAAAAAAAAAATTAGGGTAGAAATTTTAGTTGAAAATATGTATGAAAACTTTTATTTCTGTTATTTGAAGAAGCATTTTGACATTTCCCCATTGTTAAGTATTATGTTACTTTACTTTTATTTAAGATTCATCATACATTATTTTAAGATGTTAAAACTTCTTTGCCTCCATAACTTTCCATTAATATGTGAAAATATGCTTAAGATATGGAAAAGTTTTTCTAAGATTTATCTAACTTTTAAAACCAACCAATTGATGAAATAACATTCTTATAGTAGATTTTGTTTCATGCCCTGCTTCTAAAATACTTTTTAGTTCTTAAAATCAAAAACTTACTACAGCAACATGTTTTATAACTAAAAAATTACGAAAATAAGCAGTGACACTGAAAATGTGTTCATGTTATTAAAATAATGACTTGGGGGCCTCCCCTGTGGTGTGGCGTTTGAGTGCTGAGTTGTGAAGCTGCCTGCAGCCTCTGCAGCACCGGTTCAATCCCTGGCTGCTCCCCGGCCACCGGAGGAGGGTCCCACATGGTGCGCAGACCTCTCCTGCCGCCTGCTGCTCCCCTCAGCAGTGTACTTCGGTCCTTCTGCCTGCTCTGCTCCCCGCGCTCTGGCTCTGGTGAATTCTCTCACCCTCCCGCGCTTCTGACTGTACCCAGTGCTTGTATAAATAAATAAAAAAATAAATCTTTAAAAAAATAATAATAATGACTTGGAAAATCACTGACTATGGCTAAGCAGATAGCTGGTGTTACCCTGGGATGCAGAGTTGCCCAATTGAGAGATAGCTCACCAGCTATTTAAAATCTGACGATTCAGAGTAGTGGCTCTTGTGGACTTTCAAATTAAGGCTCATTGTTGAAGCCCCTGCTTGTGTTCTCTGTTAATATCATCTTGGTGTGCATTGAATGGTACCTCCTCTCTCCATCCTCCCCTCAGCATTCACAGGGGTTTCCTTGTGTTTTTGTGACAGGCTCATGATTGTTTCTTTAAATCATCTAGACTTAACCTCTCAACTCTGAAAATTTGTCAAACTAATTTCTCATAATAGAATATTAGAGCAATCAAAAAATAATGTCTGTTTAAATGGGTAATGTGTAATGGGTCAAATACAAGATTGTAAGATGTTTAATTTTTTAAAGGTGTTTCAGGTCACAATTTTCTTCTGCTTGAAACATTCTACAATGTAGTTTACTGAAGCATTCAGAAACAACACTTTCCTGATCTGCAGACAATGAGTGATAAATTGATGATTAAAGACAGATTGTTTTTCAAAGAAGAAAATGAATACATTAAAAACTATTGTTCTTTAAACTTCTCATTCATCTCAGTATTATAAATTATGTTCAAATAAAAAATAGTCCAAAAAGACTTTTTTTAAAGCATCTAAGTATTTAAAGCCTTTTGAATTGAAAATAAAGTCAATCTCATATGAACTAGTTAACCTGTTGACTTATTTTTAATGTTGTCTGCTATTAAACTTTTTAAATAAATTCTATTTGTGTATACATTAGAAACATAGTCTCAGCCTTCCTTAAGTGTATTTTCATTGTTGTTTATTTTCTCAATATATGTTTACATTTGCCAGTTTCTGTGTATCTAAATATTTTGCCTGGGATGTGAAGGGTGACAACAGCATCTTGTTGGGGTGTATGCATGTGGGGGGTGCATAGAGAGAAATCAAGCATGAGTGTGCAGGGGGCGGGGAAGAAAATGTCTTTATATGAATAATTAATTCTTGATAAATCTTTACAATTTTGTGTTGTTTCTTGAACATAGCTGTGTATGAGTGTCACCTTTTATTCTCCCCCACATAAGGTATAAGTATGGTTAATTTGAAATGTCAGACTAAAAGCCAATATTTACTCCAAGGACCACTTTCATCTATTTGGGACAATTCAAATGTTTGTGCATACTAAAGTCTCTTTTCAAATGCAGATGATATGCATAGAAACTATTTTAAAGTATATGTTTATTTTTCACTTTCTATTGTGATATTTTCTTTATTTTTTTAAGGTTTTAGGAGTGTTCTAATTATGAGTTTATCATTTGAACTTTGCTTTTTTTACAATTTTGGTGTGAACTTTTTGTAATTTACCTTAGAATATTTTTGAGAGGGAACAGAACTTTGTGGTTAACATCTCCTGATCTTTTGGACTAGATGACATTATTGGGAGATATGATGATCTGTCCAAGTCTGTTAATGATCGGAATGAAAAACTCCAGATAACCCTGACTCGCTCACTGAGTGTGCAGGATGGCCTGGATGAAATGCTGGACTGGATGGGAAGTGTAGAAAGTTCTTTGAAAGAACAAGGTCAAGTGCCCTTAAACTCTGCTGCTCTTCAGGATATCATCAGTAAAAACATTGTAAGTGAATGTTTTTAAAATGAAAAAAAAAATCCACAATTTCAGATAAAAAAGTTTATTAAATTCAAAGGATGCATAAATTTAAGGTAAATGTAAAGGAAAAAGACATTCCCTGAATATAACTGTGGAAAGTAGTGCTTTGCACAAAGAAAAAGGAGTGGAATGAGTTTTCTGTGAAGGAGAATAGAAAGAGGTTTGTCTATTTTTTTCATGAATAGTATTCATTACAGAATGTTTACACATACATTGAGTCCTCTCTTGTTAATCATTCCTTGAGCCAGCTGCACATGAGGTTAATCAGATCAGTCTTGTTGGTGTCTAGCTTCTTAAAAATTAGGACCATGGATAATCCCTAGGCTCCATCCAGTCCCAGGGGTGCTGAGTAGCAGCAGCCTCCTGCCTGATTCAGGCAGCTAGCCAGCTGTTCTCCACTCTCCCTTGAAGAGATTTGGGATGGGACTCCTCAAGGGGCAGATCATACTTGTCAGTCAGTCTCAATCGTTAACCTTCTTTAGACACAGGTTGTTCAAACTTATGTGTGCCATGAATAGTAATTTTTCAAAACGCTGACATTATTTGTCAACATTATAAAGCAAATGTGCTATTTCGTGCATTTCAGATGTTGGAGCAGGATATTGCTGGTCGTCAGAGCAGTATAAATGCCATGAATGAAAAAGTGAAGAAATTTATGGAAACAACAGACCCATCCACTGCATCCTCACTGCAGGCCAAAATGAAGGACTTGTCTGTTCGGTTTTCAGAAGCCAGTCATAAGCACAAAGAAAAATTTACCAAAATGGAGGAGCTAAAAACTAAAGTAGAACTATTTGAGAACCTCTCAGAAAAACTCCAAATGTTTCTAGAAACAAAAACTCAGGCTCTTACTGAGCCAGATGTGCCAGGAAAAGATGTTACTGAATTATCTCAGTATATGAAGGTAAGTCTTATTTAATATTCAGTAGACCTATCAAGTGTATTAACAGTTAAAACAAACTCATACATTTATTGGCAGAAGTATAGTTAGCAACCATCATTTTGGTTGCTGATGGAGTAGTAAAGAACTCTGCTTTCTTCCTTTAAAAATCTGAAGCCTCATCTTTTCCTGGAAGCATTTTGCTCATTGAATGAAAGTGAACACCCTTTCTCACAAACATACCCTTCCACACATCATGGGTGATACATCTTACATGTCAGAACCCAGAGAGACATAATATAAGGAGTCCATTTTAAAATTAAAGTTACTGTGTCTCTTTCAAGACTCCCTACCTGCATGTTTGTTTATATTTAGAGTACTGATTGTAGACAGGTTCATTTCTTCTGTGAAATTCTGAATAGACCCATTTTGGTTCCATGCATACCATTTGAAGATGTAGCAACATCTTATACTAATTAAATATCTAAATGCTTTGTAGGAATCAACTTCTGAATTCTTAGAACACAAGAAAGATCTTGAAGTTTTACAGAATCTCTTGAAGGAGATAGCCAGCCATGGTTTGCCAGGTGATAAGGCTCTGGTTTTTGAAAAAACAAATAATTTGTCAAAGAAATTCAAGGAAATGGAGGATACCATCAAAGAAAAGTAAGCAATGCTTAAGAGGTTGGATTTTATTCTATTTGATATTAATTATAATGAAATATTTTTATTATATAAGTAGATGCCTGAAAATATTCTGAAAGCTTTGAGGGTAAGCATCGGGCTACTTTATAATTAATTTTCATATTGAGATATATATATACACACACACACACACACACACACACAAACAAACACACACACACACGAAAGTAGAAAGCGCTATTGAAGAAAAATGGTGGTGATAGAATATTACTGAAAATAAACTGACTATCCTCTCTGAAACCTTTGGGACAAATACCGCATTTTTTTGGCAAATGCAGAAGTAACCTTGCTCGTCAATATTTTCTGGGCTCAATTCAGAAACTATGCTCAGTTTCAATATAGGTCTCCGTGGGCTTCTTTTTTTTTTTGTAAAGTAGTTTACTTTTTGAAGAGTTGTAGATCAAGACATGATTCCATGAACAAATAAGAAACAAGAGAATAAACTTGAGTTTAAAACACTGGATAGGGATAAGCCTTGTGACTGAACTTCTATGTTTCTGATTTCATGTTAGTTTAGCATATACATATGGTTTGGCTAAAATTTATAGTGACCCCCAAAAAGAAAATAATCATTTCTCTTCCAGCTTATTACTTGTGGAGCTATATTTGTCATTTATTATTTAATTCACATTGCAGAAAAGAAGTATTCTTGACTTACTTAGGTAATCTCTACATTGATTCTTTTTTTCAAATGGGTACAGTTTTGAAAGCATGGAATCATCCAAAATTAGTCCAGCAGCAGTAGACTCTGATGTGCCAGTATTCCACCCTCTTGCACATGTGCACATGTCATCCACACATCATCCATGTACCAAATGTAACTGCCCTCACCATTGTTCATTTGCTGGGCTTGTCTTCCCTCATGGTACTTATGTACAGAGGGGTTCCTGTAGTTTCCCGTGGAACTTTCTGAATATCTATAAGAGAAGCAATCATTAGAATTCTTTAGTCACCGTATCTTTCCTCAATTTTGGAGATTTAAATCTACACTGAAGTACCAAGTTTCTGTGTCCGCTGAGGTGGCTGTGGTATGGCCCAGAAACCACTAGGTGGCATTCTGTTTTCCTCATTCAGTGATTGGTAAATGTTTCCCTTCTGGTTCTGTGCCTGTTGGCACTAAGTACCATGTAAGTGGACAGATCAAAGCTCACTGAGTCTAAGTAATGTTAGAAATATTTATATAACCTTAGAGTTTATGTTGTATTATTGAGTGTCGTTACATGTGGGTTACAGATTTCCTAACTGCTCCTATCTACCCACGTTGCCTGAGAAATAGATGTTATTTCGCTGATTTCACTTGCTACCGATGAGACCTTTCTTCTTCTACCAAAGGGTTAGAGAGAGGGCTTCTTAATGTTAAGTCTGATGCAGGAATAATTATTTCTTAGTAATTAGTCTTTTAGAGCATCTCTTTTCTGTGACAAATTTTTCAATGATTTTTGTTATCTAGAAAAGAAGCTGTGTCTTCTTGTCAAGAACAGATGGATGCTTTCCAGGTCCTTGTTAAATCCTTAAAATCATGGATAAAAGAAACAACAGAAAAAGTTCCCATTGCACAACCTTCTTTTGGTGCAGATGATTTAGGAAAATCTTTGGAAGAGACTAAGGTGAATCATTGAATCTAATCCTATTTTCTCATTTGCTTGTGTCAGTAATAAGAAGTTAGAAGATAGTGGTTTCCTTTTATTTATTATAAGTTATAGCCTCATCTGTGTACAGTATATTTTGGTGATATTGAAAAATCATGACATGGGATTAACTGGTCCTTTTGAGGAAAGGCATAAACGCTTAATTAGCTTTTTTTTAAGGGGTGTAGAAGTGAATTGCTGACTGTTTTGGTGTCCAGTTTTCCTTTACCTCCAAATCTCTCCTTAGTTTTCAGTTATCTTTTACACCATTTCTCATGATGTTGAGTAAAAGTTCCATCTCTTCAACTCAGCTTTCACTCTATAGCTTGGATGTCATCATAATGAGGATTTGAAAATAGAAGTTGTTTGAGCTCGCTTCGGCAGCACATATACTGAAAATAGAAGTTGTTTGAATCTCTAATACAAGTAGTACATATCTTCTGTTTTTTGACTCATTATAAAATGTATGATTAGTTTTCAATCCATATTTGTGTGGGGTTTTTTTAGTTCATTGAAATCTTTGTGGATAAAACTCACTGTTAAATGGAATTCTGAATTCCCTCTTTTTTATATTGTTTCTAGTCTATTTCTTCTTGTCATTTGGCTGTTACCTAGTCCAGTTTTCCAATCTTACAGTTGACAGTTACTTTGGAACCCATGGCAGCTAGAAATAGCCTGACTTCACTGTGGCCAGGGGCAGAATGCAGGATGGACCTTCCTCCCCTTCTCACTCACTGCTAACAGTGTTAACAGTCACTGGGGCTGTTGGAACAATTAGGGATGGTGCCTTTTTCTTCCATCCCCTCCCCCACAAGTCAGGATCTACACTTGTCTCTCTGATTTATATTTAAGAAACTGAATTGTAACGTGTAACTTTGAAAATATTATGAAGTCTGAAAAATAATGTGTTTTTATATTTCAAGGAATTACAAGAAAAGTGGAGTTTAAAAGCACCAGAGATTCAGAAAGTAAACAACAGTGGGATCTCACTATGTAACCTAATAAGTGCTGTGACTACTCCTGCAAAGACAATAGCAGCAGTTAAATCAGGTAAGAGCTTTATTATCGGTTATGGCAAAAACTAAGAATTATCACCCAAATTTATTTGTGAATTTTTTTTTAATTAATGCATAATACAACCTCAGAAATACAAAGGGAAAGTGACAAGAAATAGGACATCAATGAACACACTAAAGACTGCCATGGAAAAGTTTTTATTAGTCAGATTTCAATCCCTCTTAGATTTCATTTTATTAAAGACTACAATTAAAATATAGATAAATTAATATGTAACAATAAGGAGTATTGTATTGGAGGAGGGTAAAGTCAGATTACAATTTATTTTATTTTTTTCCTTAATAAAGATGTTGAACTTCTACTTGAAATATTTGGTAAATGAGTCTCATGTCCTGGAAAAGAAGAGGCAAGGAAAGGAAATAGATTCTTTTCTGTAGAGTGAACCTCTCTTGTTTTTTTCCCATCTATTTTATTCTGTTCATTATTCCCAAAGAAAACAATGAGATAATGTATTAGCCATAGTATCTAAATCATAACCTTAGTTATGGTTGAGCCACTCTTTTTAGCAGAAGGGAGAATCATGCCTAATGATTCTATAATCAGTTTAAGCAGTGGGTGTAGTTTTACTTTTCAAACATTTATATTGTTATCATTATCAAGTTTTTATTTTTTAACTCAAGTGTAGAGAGAAGGCAGATCTCATGTCTTTATTCAGAGAGTTTCTGAGTGTCCTCTATGGTTTATCTATTCTGTTCAGCCCCCAGCTGTCCCTATTGTGAGACTGATGTTGCAGCTGGGCCCTCTCTCAACCAACCATTTATTCCGCTCTATTAATCCCATTTCAGGGAATACTCCTATTATATATGGTGTGATGATCTCTTCTTTTTCTCCTAATCAGATTTCCTGAATTGTCAAGTTTGTTTTTTTTTTTTTTAAGGAAAGGAATTCTATTGGCAACTATAGAACATTTTTACTTCTATCTAAAATGTCATCTTGAATGATTTTTTAAAATGAATGAAATTCAGTTTAAAATTCTGATTTTTTTTAAATGTTTTTGTTTGTTTAGACTTGTTCTTGTGTGGCTGATTTTGGGAAATATCTTCTGTTTTGGTTAGGTAGCCAATTCATATTAGCATGATAAACTCTAACTGATTTTTTAATATTCTGATTATGAGAAACCTACCAAAGCTAGATATTTATATGATTAAAGAGAAATAATAATTACTATTCACAGAGTAGTTCTTATTTGCTTGGTAATAGGTCGTCTTCAATTTCCATTTTAGGCTCACAAGTTAGTATTTTCTCTATCAGTTTGATGGTGTGGTGATTAATTTGTCCAGTCAGGCAGCTAGTGATTAGTGGGGCTGGGATTTACATTCAGGTGAGTTATACAACAAAACCCAGACACTTCTAATCCCTGAACTCTTCTCTCTCTGTGTTGACATAATGTGGGTATAGTAGTAGGTACTTTTCTAACTTTAATTTTTCTTTCCTGTCTTTTTACATCATTTTTGCCTCCATAAATACATAACACTATGTAACTGCACCAGATAATTGCCATTTCTTAAGTAAGGCAAATGTTCTTTTGTCTCTTAGTCATTTGTGCTTCATGCAACACATATTTTGAACAATTTCTGAACGTTAGGACCTTATCAAAAATAATACTGGCAATGAAGAAACTTTATTACAGCTTTGTTTTATTGATAACCCTTGATTAATATGTATAATTTAAACTTTTTGATATTCTAGTTTTTAAGGGAATCATTACTAATTCAAATAAGTTTTGTAAAGAGAGGGTATTGCTTGACCTTGAAAGTTTAGACTTTCATTGATTTTGAAATTGAATCAATAGTTTATATTTTCAAATAGCAATAACATTTAAAATGATTACTGTCCATGTGGTTTAACTTAATGCTGTTTACTACTAATACATAGAAATGCTTTGGAAATATGTGGTTGCTTCAGTGTTAATATTTTTACAGGTGGAGTAATATTAAATGGTGAAGGAACAGCCACAGATACTCAGGAAATTTTGGCAAATAAAGGTAAATAGTAAGTGCTTATGATTAAAGGAACTTTTTCAGAGGAAAACCTTTTTAGAGGTGAACAGTAGTTATATTGAAATTTCAAACTTGAATTTATGTGGTATTATTTATCAGTCTTCATAAATGCATTTATATTACATTCCATACAATTTTGATTACTTGAAATTAGTGAAATCCAGTAGTTCAGTGTGACATTTGGTTATGTTTCTTTCTTTTTGGTTAATCTGAAGTATTTTGTCGTATGTGATACATTATTTGATCTAATTTCTTATCATTGATACCTGAGGAATTAAGTAGTATTTCATGGTTTTGTATTTTTTTAAAGATTTATTTATTTTTATACAAGAAGTGGGGTACAGACCGGAGGCACGGGAGACGGGAGGGTGAGAGGATTCACCAGAGATAGAGCGGGGAGCGGAACAGGCAGACGACTGAAATACACTGCTGAGTGGAGCAGTGAGCGTGACAGAAGAAGTCTGCTGTGCCAAGTGAGTTTCTCCCTGGCTGGCAGGGAATTGGACCCGCATTGCAGAGGCTGCGGACAGCTTCACAGTGCTGCGCTTAACCCACTGCACCACTGGGGAGGCCTGTTCTACTCTCCGCTCTGGCTCTGGTGAATTCTCTCACCCTCCCACGCCTCTGACTGTACCCAGTGCTTGTATAAATAAATAAATAAATCTTAAAAAAAGAAAAAAAGATGATCTAATCTTTTAGTTCTAGAAATTCTGTTTTTATCATAGTAGTATTTATATTCACAAAATGGAAGGAGGCATCACATAAAGCAAACTCTTATTTCTAGAGCGCTAAACACCCTGAAAATATGTCCAATTTTTTTTTTTTTTTTTTTTTTTTACTCTCAGGACTAACATCCATCAAAAAGGACATGACTGACATAAGCCATGGTTATGAAGATCTTGGTCTCTTACTTAAGGACAAAATAGCTGAACTTAATGCCAAACTCTCCAAATTGCAAAAGGCTCAGGAAGAATCAAGTGCAATGATGCAGTGGTTAGAGAAGATGAACAAAACTGCAACAAAGTGGCATCAAGCACCTACACCTACAGATACTGAAGCTGTGAAGACTCAGGTTGAGCAGAACAAGGTATATAGTTTGTGGTACACTTACTAAAATATTATAAGTGTCATTTTAAACTGAGCCTTTGTGGTCAGGAGCTCTGTTCTGATTTCCTAACTCTATTATCGCCAGCAAGCGATTTTCCAATTTCGTTTAATATGTTTTCTACAAAGAGTAATGATAGTTGTTATTTATTTTTGCGCAAAGGCATTATAAAGGTGAGTGAACTGTTGGATGTAAGCAGCTTTGCCACCTTTAAATCAGTTTAGGTCTAGGATTTTAACCAGCCAGCTATTGGAAAAGATTTATATAAGGGCTAAGTATATTCGGGATCTATTCTGTCCAGTAAAAACAGGGTAGCTCCTGACTTTCCTTTCACTAGTGGGCAGTATTTCTTTCTACAACTGTTATGGATGAGGAAATGGTTTTACATGTGGCAATGATGGTGAAAATATCTACAAATTATTGACCTATATTTGAACTCTATATTGTGTTGTCCAGAAAAATGCTTATCATTATAGTTGAAAATTAATTAAGAAGAGGAAAAGAAATTAGTGCTTTAGTAGCACATATATTAGTAGATTCGCCAATATGGCAGGCTTTGTTAAGAATCATATTCTCATTAATTGCAATATTACTGATCTATATATTCCTTTTTTCCAGAGGGATTTGTTTGAGAATAATGTGAAATTTTTTCTTTTTTATTTATTTTTTAAAGATTTATTTTTATTTATTTATGCATACAAGAATTGGGGTGTAGGCCAGCGGTGTGGGGTGTGAGAGGATTCACCAGAGACTGAGTGGGGAACAGACCAGGCAGATCTACTGAAACATGCTGCTGAGGGGAGAGCAGCAGGCTAGACAAGAAAGGTCTGCTGTGCCATGTGGGTCAGCTCCCTGGCTGGACTCAAGCCTTAATGGCTGGCGATAGCTGATAGCACTGAGACTTTAACCCCTGCATCACCAAGCAGGCCCAGATATGAAATTCTTTCTGGTAATGGGATGAGAATTATTATCTCACTAGCTGTATTAGTTCTCTTTGGGATTCCTTTATCATGTAGTTGAAAACTAATTAAGAAGAGGAAAGAAAATTAGTGCTTGCTTCAGCAGGACATATACTAAAATTGGAATGAAATGGAAAATAAATGATGGATTCAGGGCCTCACCCCCTTCAGCATTTAACAGTGGATTTTTTTCCTCTTTTGGTCATGCTGGGGGGGAAATGCTCTATCATAATTGTGGTTTTGTCTTTCTTTGTTGACATACTTCAATGCAGTTATTTTTTTCCCCTTGTTAGTCATTTGAGGCAGAACTGAAGCAAAATGTAAACAAAGTGCAGGAGTTGAAAGACCAATTGACAGAGCTGTTAGAGGAAAACCCAGATACTCCCGAAGCCCCCAAATGGAAACAGATGTTGTCAGAAATAGGTATGTTACATCAGTCACACCGGAGTTTATGAACAGAAGCTCAATCATTTTCTGTCATAATTTTTATCAGAAATCATTTATCCAACAGCCTCACTTATTTTTGGCATTGCTATAATACTTCAGAATCTACTTTGCATATTCAAAAGTGTCATTTCAAATTCTATTATATGTGGAGAGTTGGCATATCTAACCTTGTGATTTTCTTACTAAACACAGCGACTAAATTTATCTTTATGAAGGTAAATTTCACTACAAATTATGTGTATTGAGTAACATGTTTTATTTTTTACTAGATTTTCGGTACTTCGGATTTTTAAATTTTTTTATAATCTGGTTTGATTAATCTTCAATGTTTGTCAACTTTATAGTAGCTTCCTTTCTCCTTGATGGAGTTCCTTCCCGGGCTCCTTTTGCCTCGCTCTTCTCTTTCACAATTGGCATTAAAAAGTAGCTTTCCTCAGAAGTCTGGTTTTGATTCTCCTGAGTTATCCTCCCACCTCCATCCTATCTTATAAATGGTTTCTTATGGGTGAGAATTTTCTTCAGTCACAAGCTTTTTATTTTGTTTTTCCTTTTCATTATTAAATTATAAGGAAAATGACTGTAAGACAACAGTGTTTTTCCCAAGTATTGTTTTGGAGAATTCATGAGTTAATGTGTGTACAACTCAGACAAACAGTACTTAGCACATAGTAGGTGATGTTTGTTTAATGTGATCATAGTAAGAATTATTTTGCTTTCAATTGTTCCATTATATTTAGATAAATAATTGTTTTTCCTTGATTATGCTAGGCAAAATAAGCCAGATAAATACTGGATTTCAGTATTATATGTTTCACTTATATGTTTTACTTATATGTGAAAGGAAGAGAAATCACAGAAAGGGTCAGACAAAGACAATCTTTTAAAACCAACCCTTGCAATCTGACTGTAGATCTGAAACAATCAGGCGGGGGAAATTAGTGAGAGAGAGTAGAAAATGGGATGGGAGGGAGGATAGTATAATAGAATATGCTGGAGGACCATGGGTGCTTTGGTGGTGGGAGAGCTATGGTGGCCACACCTGAGAGGATAAATCCTATCCTGTCAAAAATTAACAAGGATGCAAATCAATGGTACTTAATTAAAAAAAAAAGTCTTTATAATCAGCTATGGTATGATGAATTTGGAAATCTATGTTTTAGCTTGAAAAGGGTCATCCTAGAGAATCTTAATGTTCAAAAGTATATTTAATCCCATTATAAAAGCAACTCCTGTATTACAATAATTTGTTCCTATCATGAATTTGTTGTCAGATTGTGTTTGATTAGAATATGCCACTAGATATTGTTTGAGGCGTTGAGTTATACTGAATCCGCCATTTAGTTTATTATGCTAATAAAAATATCTCTCATATCAACTTATCATAGTGATCAGTGAATGTCGATTGAGTGACTCACATATTCAAGTGCTGAGCTAAGTGCTCTGGTGAAGAACTCTTAGCCTCAGGGAAATTGTCTTGAGGGTGGGGAAGCAGCAAAGGTATATTAGCAGAACTTAAGAGCCTGTGGAATTGTGAAGGAAGGGGTACATGGAGAGGAGGTAGAGCCTGTCAGGTATGGGGTCTCTGTGAGCAAAAGCCTGTTTGTATGGTTATGGTAAGATCAGTGGGGCTCAACAGAGAATTAATTGCAAACCCTCTAAGATGAGTAGATGAGAGCCAGTTTGTGGGAGGTCCTGGATATCAAATGTCTTCTGATTTTATCACATAGGTAGTGAGGCGTTACTAAAGGATTTGAGCACAGATTTGACATTCTTGATCTCTCTTTTTTTTTTAATTTATTTATTCATACAAGCACTGGGTACAGTCAGAAGCGCGGGAGGGTGGGAGAATTCACCAGAGCAGGTAACAGAACAGGCAGACTGACGAAATACACTGCTGAGGAGAGCAGCGGGTGGCAGGAGAGGTCTGTGGCACCATGTGGGGCTCTCGGTGGCCGGGATCGAACCAGCGCTGCAGAGGCTGCGGGTAGCTTTGCAGCCCAGCGCTCAACCACTGTGCCACCGGGGAGGCCCAGATTTGACATTCTTAAAAGTGATTTCTTAGGGAAATTATTTTCAAATCTAATGGATTGCAGCTGAGAAGCCAGTTAGGAGGCTAGTAGTCTAGATCTGTAGTTCTCAAAGTATGTTCTTTGGAACAGCAGCAGCACGGAAATTTTCAAGCCCCACTTCAGATCTATTAAATCAGAAACTGTGGATGGAGCCCAGCACCGTGTGTTAACACTCACTCCAGAACCAATAGTCTAGGCAAAACAGCTGAGGATCAAAATGGATTTAAAGCATTGGAAATATAAAGGGTGGGTTTAAGTTTTTATGATCAAGGATATAGAAAAGTTAGGAAAGTTACAAAAGAACATTCTGAATTATTATACCTCATGACTTTGGAGAAAAAATACCTTTGAAAGTCAAAAAAAAATCCACCAGTTTTGATTGGAACCCATTGAATTTTATGTTTTTAATGTTGTGTGAAGGTGTCGAAATGTCCTGTTGTAACTGTTGAGCAGTAAGTTGCTAATGTGTGATTTGAATAGAGGAGAATGGTTAGATTCTGATACACAAATGAAGGAGTCATTTGCCTAGAACTGATCATTGAAGATTTGATATTAAATGAAAGAATTAATATTAATATTGTACATCAGTTATAGTTGAAGAAATACACTTCATAGAACTTCTGCCCAGGACAAAGAATCTCAGTATCTTTTTAGTTATAAGGAATATCTTACATTTTACAGATCATCAAAAATATTCAAATATGTTTTTTCATGTACTTCAGTTGCCACACAACCATCAGAGCCATGAAATCTTTATCACTAGATGCAACTAATCTCTTAGGTTAGATTTCAATCAGCAAGGTAAGAAAAGTTATGCAGATGGAATGAATGATAGCCATTTTATATCATCTTGAGTCGTATCCTACAGTCTTCATAGGCAAAAATAATTTTAAATACCTATAAAGAGAATACCAGTTCATGCTTTTTGTTTTTCTTTCAGATTCCAAGTGGCAAGAACTTAATCAATTAACAGTTGATAGGCAACAAAAATTGGAAGAATCCTCTAATAATCTAACCCAATTTCAAACTGTAGAGGCTCAGTTAAAACAGTGGCTCTTGGAGAAAGAATTGATGGTCAGTGTTCTTGGGCCTTTGTCAATTGACCCAAATATGCTAAACACACAAAGGCAGCAGGTGCAGGTGAGTATTGCTTAAGACAAATGTTTTCATTATAAATACATTAAGTCTGGAGAGCATGTGCTTTATCTGCCTTGGAGTATATTTCAGATGCCCATAAACTACTGTCCTGAGGTTAGCAAGAAACCCCAAGAGAACTAAAGTTGTGAATCATTTCCAGAATAATCTGTTGAGTCCCTGATGGATATAGTCCCTTCATCATTTCAGTCATATTGTGATTTGTACAGGTTCTGTTACAAAGGGCCTCCTTTGAAGGATTTATATAGTTGTATAAGTAATAACATTTTTATGAGAACCTAATACATGCTTTTTATTGTTTAGAAATTACTCTTTTGAGGTTTTATTCATTTTGATTGTGGTAGTAGATAACGAAACTTGTAAAACTCATACAATGCAGCCATAACTGGGGCAGGAGTGGGAGGAAGAGACAAGAAGAAGAAGAGAAAGAATAGGGTGAATAGAGAGGGAACCTTGAAACCCAGTGAATTAATTTGACTAGCCTAATTATAAGCAGATAAATCCACAAGGGGAAAAACATCCATAAAATTTAAGTCAGATGCAATAGCAGAAGTTCTGTTGTGGTTTCAGTTAAGTGTCTTCATCTGAATAGTGGCTTAGGGTGGTGAGACTGATCCTATTCTCCGAAAATACAAATCAGTCAAATGTTCTTGTTCATGTGTGTTCTTAATCTGAAGAGAACAAAAGCAAAAGATAAAAATAAGCATTTGGGGACAAATAATTACTCCTACTTTTGGTAGTCTCCCAGAGATAGATAAAATATTTAGAGGGAAATTTTTGGATAATAAATTTTATAATGAGAACCACATGGAGGTTGTTCATTCTGAGCAATATGATTTATTGACTAAACCTTTATAATAAAACCATAAATGTCAATAAATCTTACATTAAAGAAAACCATTGTAAATCACTGCCCTGTGAGCTAATATTATTCCAGTACTGTTAGCACTGTACATTTCCTCTAGTGTAAAATGTTATAGAGAGTTTTACAATTCTTGCAAAGAGAATAGTATGAGTAAAAAAACAAATTTGACACCAGTGGAACATGAACTTGTCTGACAACAGTGTTTTTCTTGGTATGAAAGCTTGCCATAAATCTTTTATTCCTTTTGCCCGGACTACCAAAAATACTATCCTCTTCTTTTTTCTCTTTGGGGGATGTTATTTTAGGCAAAATATTATCTCTCTGAAGCACTATTGCTCTTTGAATTAGTTTAAGATAATTGTACTGCCCTCAAAATAAAAACCAGGGAAAAGTATCTAAAAAACTAAGGTAAAAACTAAGTAAATATGGACCGTTTTCGTCTGTTAGAAGCATACAGATGTATTTTCTGTAATCATCTGATAATTTGTATGTTGTGTTTACTTTTATTGCCTCTTTACCTTAGATTCTGCTGAAAGAATTTGATACTCGAAAACCTCAGTATGAACAGCTAACGGCAGCTGGTCAGAGCATTCTGAGCAGACCTGGTGAACACCCTTCTTTCCATGGGGTTGTGAAAGAGCAACTGGCAGCTGTAACCCAAAAATGGGACAGCCTAACAGGACAATTGAGTGACAGATGTGATTGGATTGATCAAGCCATTGTTAAAAGCACACAGTATCAGAGCCTGCTGAGAAGCCTTTCCAATAAACTGAGTGACTTGGATAATAAACTCAGCAGCAGTGTGGCCGTGAGCACACACCCTGATGCTATGAACCAGCAGTTGGAAACAGCCCAAAAAATGAAGCAGGAAATAGAGCAGGAATCGAAGCAGATAAAAGTGGCCCAGACTCTCTGTGAGGATTTGTCAGCATTGGTTAAAGAAGAGTACTTGAAAGCAGAACTTAGTAGACAACTAGAAGGCATCTTAAAATCATTTAAGGATATTGAGCAAAAAGCAGGTTTGTCTCCCTTTCCCTTTCTGTAATACATATATTTCCTGGTGATACAGGTAATATGTTGCCTTTTTCCAAACCGTTGCCCATAATTGAGGACTCTGGCAAGAATAAACCACCACTATGAGCACAGCAGCACAGAGAACATACACATATTGTGTTCGGGTAATTCAACATGGATAATAGGCAGTCTGTTGGTAAAATCCACTAATAAAGTCCTATTAAAATTTCACGTATTTCAAATTGTTTTTTAAAAGATGTAAATATTTTTGCTGTGTGACACTCATTGCATCAGAACAACAGATAAATACAGTTATTCAAAACACTTTGCATCATTTTCTATCTGTAGTTACTTTGAGTCTCTCATTAAAAGCTTTTCTTGAGAAATGTGTGGAAGAGAAGAATTTGGCACTATTTTTCTCTCTCATCCACTGTGGACATAGTTCTGTGACAGATGTGCCAATATGATTGAGTTCTTAGACTTAGATGTGCAGTAGGTGAGTTCTTAGACGTCAGAAGAACCTGTCAAAGAAGAATACACCTGGCTGCTTAGTTTGTTCTTTTAAAAAGTGACACTAGATGTCTTGTACCTAGTAAGCACTCAGTTTATGATTTTTTTATTGATTGTATTTGTCTATATTCATAGCAGCCATTTCAGATTGACAGATGTTTTGATATTGATAATGAATATTAGTTATTGTGATTATTATGTTATGAACATTTTTGTGACAGACATTAAGCTAAGAACTTTACATGTACTATAATTTAATTGCTACAACAACTTTCATTGTTGCCAATGTGTATTTGGGAAAATGAGGCTTAGGGATTTCATTATTTTCGCACAGTATTCGAACTCTTGGAATTGATTTGGGGTCCAACCCCATGCTACTTGATAATTGCCTTTATGATATGTAAAAATCAGAGAAGTGGAAAAGTCATACTTGATAAGAGATAGATTATCTGTCTCTCAGAATACCTTAGAACATTAAACAGTTGGCACTTCCCCACACAGGAATGGAGATGACTCTTGACATCTAGGCTTGATGTATCTTTTCCTATAGAGTCTACCTTTTGCTTCCTTCTTTTTTCCCCTCTGCCGATATCTTAAGCTCACCTGTAGCTCTCATAGTCAGTGCCAACAGTCCTTGATTTTGTTTGATTTTTTTTAAGATTTATTAATTTATGCATACAAGAACTGGGGTACAGGACAGGAGAATCTTTTCCTATAGAGTCTACCTTTTGCTTCCTTCTTTTTTCCCCTCTGCCGATATCTTAAGCTCACCTGTAGCTCTCATAGTCAGTGCCAACAGTCCTTGATTTTGTTTGATTTTTTTTAAGATTTATTAATTTATGCATACAAGAACTGGGGTACAGGACAGGAGTATGGGGGAGTGAGAGGAATCACCAGAGACAGAGTGGGGAACAGAACAGGCAGATTGACTGAAATAAACTGCTGAGGGGAGCAGCGGGCGAGTCAGGAGAGATCTGCTGTGCCATGTGGGTCACCTCCCCTGGCCACGGATTGAACTTGCACTGCAGTGCCCATGGACAGCCTCACAGTGCTGCATCCCAACCTCTTGCACCACCAGGGAGGCCACAATTTTAGATAGTTTTGTACATGTATTGCTTTTCTTCTTGACTTTTCATGGATCAGATCAACATTTTGAAGTAAAATAAACATGTCTGTGATTTCATTTTTAGAGAACCATGTCCAGCACCTTCAATCAGCCTGTGCAAGTTCTCATCAATTTCAGCAGATGTCTCAAGATTTTCAGGCTTGGCTGGATACAAAGAAAGAAGAGCAAAACAAGTCTCACCCAATATCAGCCAAACTAGATGTCTTGGAATCATTAATTAAAGTTCAGAAAGACTTCAGTGAAACTTTGAATGCTCAGTCTAATATTTATGAAAAGACCATGGTGGAAGGTGAAAATCTGTTATTAAAAACACAAGGGTCTGAGAAGGCAGCCTTACAGTTACAACTTAACACTATTAAAACCAATTGGGATGGACTTAATAAACAGGTGAAAGAAAGAGAGGAAAAGCTAAAAGATACATTGGAAAAAGCCCTCAAATATAAAGAGCATGTAGAGACTCTCCGACCATGGATAGACAAATGTGAAAATAACGTGGAGGAAATAAAATGTTGCTTGGATCCAACTGAAACAGAGAATTCTATTGCCAAGTTAAAGTCTCTGCAGAAGGAAATGGATCAACACTTTGGGATGGTCGAATTGCTAAACAATGCAGCCAATAGCTTGCTCAGTGTCTGTGAGATAGACAAAGAGGTTGTTACTGATGAGAATAAATCACTGATCCAGAAAGTTGATATGGTCACTGAACAACTTCACAGTAAAAAATTCTCTCTGGAGAACATGGCCCAGAAGGTTAAAGAATTTCAAGAAGTTTCCAAAGAAGCTAAAAAGCAGCTTCACTGTGCAAAGGAGCACCTGGATGTGCATGATTCCCTCGGACCCCAGGCTTACAGTAATAAACACCTGACCATGTTGCAAACTCAGCAGAAATCACTTCAGGCTGTGAAGCAACAGATAGATTTGGTCAAAGAACTTGCACAGGCCCTTGTGGTAGAAGCCTCAGACTCAAAAGGAACTTCTGATATTTTATTACAAGCAGAAACCTTAGCTCAAGAGCATAGTGCACTAAGTCAGCAGGTTGATGAAAAGTGTTCATTCTTAGAAACCAAGCTTCAGGGCATTGGACATTTCCAGAATACCATCCGAGAAATGTTTTCTCAGTTTGCAGAGTTTGATGATGAACTGGATAGCATGGCCCCAGTAGGAAGAGATGTAGAAACACTGCAAAAGCAAAAGGAGGCCATTAAAACCTTCCTGAAGAAACTAGCAGCCCTCATAACAAGCATTGACAATGCCAATAAAACCTGCAAGATGATGCTGGCCACAGAAGAAACCTCTCCTGATCTTGTTGGAATCAAAAGGGACTTAGAAGCTTTAAGCAAACAGTGCAACAAGCTGCTGGACCGAGCACAAGCCCGAGAAGAGCAGGTTCAAGGGACAATTGAGCGTCTTGAAGAATTCTACAGCAAATTGAAAGAATTTTCTATTTTACTTCAGACAGCTGAAGAGCATGAAGAATCACAAGGTCCTGTTGGTATGGAAACAGAGACAATTAACCAACAACTTGATGTGTTCAAGGTAGGGAATTCTTCATTTTTTCTGAGCATCATTATTATTAAAAGAAATTTTAATTGGTGTAGAAAAAAGATCAACTATTTTGTAGAACATTCTAATATGACTATCACAGTGTTCAGCCTGAATGAGCATGCTTAAGGGCAATATTCATGTACGAGGGGCAGTTCCAGGCTTACTGGGGTTTGTGGTTTTTATTGGGTAAGATCTGAGATAATTATCAAGAGGTTGGAAGAATGTTTGAAAAGTTCCAGGTAAGCCTGATACTGACATCATGGAGTTCCTTTCTCATGTCATTCACAGCTGACATAGGTTTGAACTCTCCTGCAGAGAGAGGCCAGTCCATAACATAAAGTTTTGTTTTCTTCATATTTGTAGCATTTTCTTTAATGGTGAGTTATAGCCTTTGTCTGCTCTTTCTCCTTTTATAGTCGTCTTGTCCTCCTTAATTTAATTTCTTCTGTAAGCTTTTATCCTTCAAAAAGCTCATGTTTTTAAAGTCATGATGGAGTTCCATGTTGTAATGCTGGTTTAACAAAACAAACATCTGGGGATCATGCCCTAGAAAATAAGGAGTAAAAATTGTTTTTGATGGGACTGCAAGTTCATCGGTTTCAAGAATTGCCTGCCACTTGATAGCGCTCAGTGATGTTTAGTGAATGGAATGTTAGATAAAAATGGTGGGCATTTGTCATTGGCTTTGGACTCACTCAGGATAGTGAGAATAAAAGTCTCAACAGGAGACAGTGATAGGTTCAATCTTGAACAGACATAGTCCTAGATATCAGGCATTTGCTGCAGAACCTCTGGGGTTGCTGTGGATCCTGTTGTGCTCATGAGGTGTGTTTCACTTCCCTGTAGAGACTGTTGTGAAGTCCTACCATGAGCACATAAAAACAAAATTTGCCAAACTACGGGTTGTTTCCCATGAGAAATGAATATAAATCAAATGGACTTCCAAATTCTGTGCAGTTATATTTGACAAGGTATTTTGCTATTTTTCAAAAACATTATTTAGGTGACCAGATTTTGAAAAAATAACTTTTTCTTCTTTTTACTATTGTAGTTAGTTGTTGTTTATAAGTGTTTTTGAAGGTCAGTTCCTCTGGGGCTTAAAAATGTGGTTCTCAATGTAGATCTTCATTCGTAATGGTGACGGAAACAGCCTTACTGTTGACTTTATTTCCTTATGACTCTGTCAAACGTATTTCTGTTTTGCAAAATAATGAAAACACATGGGAGAATTCTGTTTAGAAAAGCAAAGTTCTGTGGCAATTGCTGCTTCAAAGTGTGGGGGAGATATTTTAGGAGTAACTTTCTCAGATAGAAATCTTTAGGGCTTTGTAGAACCCTGACATACTTGATAGCACAAATGACATTAATCAGATGGTCTTTTTACTAATAAAATTTAAGCATATTCATTGCCTTTGTGAAACATAATTTCTCTAGGTTTTCTGTAAATTTATGTGAAAAAAGTAAGCCTTTATTTCTATCTCAACTACATTAAGAAAATGAGCAAAAGTATTATCATTGAGCTTCTGGTGGTAGGTCCCTCCCTCTGTATTCCCAGGCTTGAGTAATACAGTAAGAAAAAGCAAGAGATAGGTGGAGCTCTCTCACCATTGCTCTGGAAGTGTTTTGCAAACTTAAAAGAACTAAATAAGCATGATTAGCATTAATGACTACAGAGGTTATTTTATTTATCTGTGAACAAATTAAGTGATCATTTCTTCTAAAATAAACCACTTAGCATGCTTTTTTTTGTCTTTTTCTGATTATTGATCAGAAAGGAGTTAATTCATTTTAATGAAATTCAGTAATAAAGACTATCATAAGGACATACCTTCAGTGCTCTGAGACCCAATGACTAGTAAGTTTTGAAGTGGACAAATCATCTGCATTTAATATATTCCAGTGCCATTGCTTAAAATAAGAACAAGAGTATTATAATGAAGATGGTAGCTTACACAATTCCTAATTCTGTGTGTGTGTTCAAAAAAATAGCAATTTCAATTAACATTTACTGTGTACTTTACATGTCAAGCATTATTCTGAACTCTCTGCCTTTAATGCTATTAACATCCGAAAGAAATTATCATTATTCCTGTCCTATTGCAAGGAAGCTGAAACCCAGGGAGGCTAAATGACTTTCCCAGGGTCAGACAGGTAGTGTCAGGGCCTGAATGTTTTGGTGGAATTAATGAATTGTTTATGTCAATTTTATCCATCCCTTTGCTTGGGAAATTTTATCCATCCCTTTGCTCTGGGAAATTTTCAAGTCCTTTTTGCTGAAACCTAATTTGGGTGGACTGTGGGCAATCATTGTTCATTTTAATCCAAAACACCATGATCATTCAATTAAGGAAAGTGTTCTTTTATAAAATCTATTGCTTTGAGAAACATGAGAAAAATGTGTATGAAATTGTCATAGAAACTGATATGTAGGTGCTGTGATGATGAGAGATGATGGTAATGATGATGATGATTACCAAAACTGGTATGACCAAGATGGAAGCAAACATTTCATTGTCTTGGTGTTTTATATTTCTTATTAAAATAGTAAATTAATTTTTTTTACAATTCACATCATAGTTTAGTTTTTGTTGGGTAGTAGGCTTCCTCTGAACATAAGTTTTAGTGTAATGATTTAGGAAGATTTTTAAATTATTTTAAATAGAATTTTTGTCTTGATTGAAAAATGGGTAGTTTACTAAAAATAGCAAACTCTACTAGGTGCTCTGATTTCTAAAAATAAAACAGAAAAGCACTGAAATACTGAGTCGATTGTCATTAGAGACTTTGAAATATAATCCACTTTGCTGTAGTTCACCATAATGCTGTGAATAAAATCTTACAACAGTTTTTCATAATATGAAATAAACTGCCTTCAGAGTAGGATTGAAACTAAATATAGCTATGTAAATATCACTATTATCAATTATCCAGTAGGGAGTGCCTTATATTCATTGGGTGTGTAATGGATTATTTAAACTAGATAAGACGATTTCTGTTTCAATTTTTTCCCCTAAACTTAATCTAAGAAATGGCAGTTAATATCCTTGAAAAAACAAAATTAATTCAGTTTTAAGATACCAACCCAAACATAATGATTAAAAACAAATGCTATTCTGTACCAAATGTTCTAAGGCATTGTCACTGAAAGCTATTCCAAATTTTTGAAAATAGGTGGTATTACCTTTTGTGTTAGCTTAAATTTTTTAAGCTATTTTAATTTTGTTACATCTGATTGTGTTAGTCATTGGCTAAAATATTTGACGACTGAGGTGTTTTCTATTGCTGTCGATAACTCAAAGCACTATTTTTCTACTATACTTCTATTACACATCTCTGTTATTACATTAAATTCTATGTGGACTGTCATAAATTCCTAGGTAGGAAGAAAAATAAGTTCCTTTGGTTTCTTTCTATCCTTACCTCCTGTTGAAGACTCCTAACACAAGATTATCTTCAACTCTAAAGTACATTGTTAAGTAATATTAATGTCTCCACAGTTATTTATCAAAGACATATGTAACCACTGTAAATGAGGGACATGTCCTAGTAATTCCCATGAAATCATCAACAGCCAAAAGATCTGAAGTAATCATTGTCAAATATTGAATTGATTTCATTTCAAAGAGGATTAAAGAAGCTTGATGTTTTAATGAACATATCCAAACACAACCTAGAGAACTGTATATCCCTCCCCATCATTCTTTAGGTCATAATAAAAGATCTTACCTCTGAAGCTGCTTACTATTTTATTTCTGACCACTGTTGTTGCACTAATTGTAACTGATTTTGTCCCCACAACTGAACACATAACTGGTACAAGTAGCTGTGAACCCATGATTTATTTTTCTTTTCAAAGTGGAAATAATATTTCAGTGAACAGAGAAATTGTAAATCAAGTCAAAACCAGAGATGAAGACCAGATGTTTAATTATTCTAATAAATTTTCTGTAGAGATCCAGGTATAGGAATTATTTAAGACATCATTATTTCAATATCAGGTGAACTAAAATGCTCTCATGAGACAAGAGAAGCCAGGCAGTTTGAGCAGTATTTTTAAATAGTATTGCTGAAATGAATCACTTTCCAAATGTCCTATTAAGATATTTATTAAATGATCCTTAAACAATGTTTGTGATATTACCATATTTTAAATTTTTTACCTTTTTTTAAAGATTTGTTTATTTATGCATACAAGAGCTGGGGTACAAGCCAGAGATGCTGGGGGGTGGGGGAGAGGATTCACCAGAGACAGAGTGGGGAACAGAACAGGCAGATTGACCAAAGTACACTGCTGAGGGGAGCAGCAGGTGAGTCAGGAGAGGTCTGCTGCACCATGTGGGTCGCTCCCTGGCTGGCCAGGGATCAAACTCGTGCTGCAGAGGCTGCGGATTGCATCATGGTGCGGTGCTTAACTAACCCTTGCACCACTAGGGAGGCTCTTACCATATTTTTAAAGATAAAATTAAACTGACCATAGAAGGGTTTAATAGTGGTTTTTAAGTGTGCCCATATTGTTAAAGGTCAGCAATGAATTGTCCTCCATTTTTTGTTAAGAACAAAGAGAAATTAAATAAGCTGTTGCAGAAGGCCTTTTTATTAGGGAAAAATTCTTAGCTGGATTTTTGTTAAATTCTTTATATTAGCAAAGAAGTTGCATAATAATCTTCCTCTGGTATTTTTAAGGTGAAAATATGTTCATTATAGGAGCTGTAATTTGTGCATGAGCTTTATAGGAAGGTCACATTATTTATTTTTAAACATTTATTTTTATTTACTTATGCATACAAGAATTGGGGTATAGGCCAGAGGTGCAGGGGGTGAGAGGATTCACCAGTGAGAGAGTGGGCGGCAGAACAGGCAAATCCACTGAAATACAATGCTGAGGGGAGCAGTGGACAAGACAGGAGAGGCCTGCTGTGCCATATGTGTGTAACTCCCTGGCCTGGGATCGAACTGTGGCGGCAGGGGCAATAGTGTGATAACCCTGAGAC